AGACCCAGGTTTGAATTATAAATAAGGTGATGGAAATTTTTTCTGTTGGGACAGAACTAAAATCTCAGCCTGCAGTTTGTGGTGATGGCACCATCCTTGGAGCCCTCAATTCTCAGACATAAGTCCCTTAACAAAAAAGGTAGTAAAAGCAAACAGTAAGAAGTTGCTTTTTTGTTTTTTTTAAATTAGGTGGTAATTTTGAGTAACGACGGATTAGAAAAAATAATAGCAGAAAGCATGGTACCAAAAAGAAGGGGCAGGGGCCGACCAACACGAAGATGGGCACAGGTTATAAGTGACTCCTTGAGTATGAAAGTACATGAGGCAGAAGAGCTGGTGAGGGACCGAGTTTTTTTCAGGCAGGCCGCGTCATGTTGAGAGCAACGTTTCTCAAAGGACCTGCTACAAGATAATGATGATGAAATTCTATTAAAGATTTAACATTTGTTAAACGTGTGCTGGGTGTCAATTTCTCATTAGTTTTTTAACTTAATGTTTAGAGAGGTTAAACATGCTAAGGTATTTTACTACTCAGTAACTCCGATACATTGCAGAATGTTGGGATATAAGCTCTGTCTTTGTTGAAATGCTTTATATCTGTTTAGTTAATCATAAGTTATGCTGTACATATGGTTATGGTTTATTGCATGCTATTTGTAATAATTGACTCAGCCTGTACCAAGCTATATATGCTGTGCTGACATTATGTGGTCAACAACAACAACAAAACACAACACAGTTTTTTTCCCCATAGACAGACCTTTATATAAAACAAGCATTTGTACTAATATATAAGCCCAGAAGAATTCACCAGATATTGATTCCAAAGAGATTCAGAAGCAGTTTGAGACCTACCTGCATTTGGGGTGCCAGTAGTTCAAGTGTTTCACAAAACAAACATACATATGCATGCACACACGTACACGCGCACACACGTTTTTAGCTGTGGTTATAGAAAGATGTGTGCTGCACTCAATACACATCTTGGACTTTTAATCTTAGAAGAAGTACTATATCCTGAATAATAACATACATAAAAAGCAGCACTCGCATGGACACCAGATCATGAGGGCCCAGGTCCCATGAGCTCCCCACTTCTCTTTTTTTTTCCAGCAATTTTCTTGGCGGTGGGGTTCCAAAGGGGTTACGCCTTGCTTATTTGGGCAACAATAATAGTAATAATATTTATTATTATTACTGCACAATTTAACAAGGCTAGAATGCCCACCCTTAAAAGAGGTGTTTCTTTATGCCTTTCAAGAAACAGAGCAGATAATAACTCATTTTTTATTTACTTTTGTGTGTGTGTGTGTGTAAAATCTTCTTCTAAAAATAAACTTTTTGTTTTTTCACTTGCTCTGTATTTTGAGTTTATCTTTAAAGCAATCAGCTGTTTTATTCAGTTAACAGGATATATTTTCCATAAGTTCTAATAAGGAAACAACATTGTATTTGAACATTTTACTTATTTCTGCAATAAAAGAGATTTGTTCTGATCACAATAAGAAAAACTACAATATTGAAGTAATTTAAACAAAATACGAACAGTTCTTTGGTGCTGACAGGTCTAAACTTGCACATACAAGTACAAGTGCACATATGGAAATATAACAGTCAGATATCATATTTATGACTCTGGAACTTTTCAATACCAGACTAATAAAATTAATTCTTATACTTCTTTTATTGGTTGCATTGTGCTCTGAACCACACTACATCTGATTGTCATTAGTTTTAATCTGAACTGTATCAGATGACTAGAGCACCCAGGTTGACCCAGCTTAAAAATTAGTAGCAGGAAATACCATGAGAAATAAAGGTGGCCAATGTTATATTGACCACATCAGCCATTGTATGCAAGTTATGCTATAAAAATAGTGCTAGCATGCCTGAAATTTTGGAAACAGGACCTTCACCAGACTGCAGGGAACAAATATAATACTGTGAAGATAATACAGACTTGATGAACACTAGGATATGAATGAAAAATTGGATTTGGGAGGGGAGGGGGGGGGGGGGGCTACAAACGCTATAGTTACAGTAACGCTCATACTGGGTAAGAAAGACATTCTGAAGACATGAATGAACGCTGACGAAATGCAATGTTAGATCAAAAAACGTGTAAGTTTGTGTGAAGTTTGAACTAAGTGTGGACTCTTCAAGAAAGGACCTTAGAGAGGTAGGGTAGAATGTGTGTACAACCAATATGCCACTCGAACAGTCAGCACTTACATCTTAAGACATTTGCTGGGGCAGACGAAGCATCTCTGGGTATGCCATGATGTCAATTTGTAAATCAGTGTGAATTATAGTTGATATCAAAAGAATTCATACTTCTCAAGTACATAAATGAAGAAAACAATTTTCAACATGGATGGTAAATGAAATTCTGCTGCCAAGAAAAAGCAAGAGTAATAAGGATAAGGATATTGGCTGAAACAAATGCACAGAGTAATGATAAATGTTGAGAAAGACTTCCATTCCGTATACTAAAAAATAAATATCTTAACAAGTAGAAAATCACAAAATATGATAATGTTAAAAATTAAAGAAAGCTGTTTTATTAACGGGACAAAACTGTAATTACTACATGGCATTACATGGAAAAAGGAAAGGTACATGGACAAGACTACATTTTGTCATAGAAATTGAGACCATGAGAGATTTTGAATTAGACATAATAAAGCTATTTAAATTATTTTTTAAATCGTCTTTATACAAGTTCAATTCCTAAATCAACCGACAGTTAATGTCTGTGAATATATATATATATATATATATATATATATATATATATATATATATATATATATATATATATATATATATATATATATATATATATATATATATATATATATATATATGTATATATGTGTATATATATATATATATATATATATATATATATATATATATATATATATATATATATATATATATATATATATATATATATACATGTGTGTGTCTGTATACACACACACACACACACATGCACTTGCACGTGCACAGAGAGAGAGAGAAAACATTTGTTCATTTTGTAGTACCATGCTGACAAGTGTGTATGGAGTGTTTCAAAAAAAATTCAAAATGTTACACATCATAATAAGCTTTTCCCTCGAAGTCGGAGTACATCTGCCGGAGAGGCGGGGAACGAGAACTGCAAACAAATAAGCCAGTAAAACGGATGTACACGCAAAACTCAGGTCAAGGTAAAAGCCAAAAGTCCATTTGGACGAACAACCGCAACTTACCGCCGGAATTCACAGCCGGTGAACAAGAAGAAGAAGAAGAAGAAGAAGAATAAGCTTAATAGTTCATTGTGCACTTATGATATCTGTCTATTAACTAATATCGGAACAGGCATACACATAGGGACAATTCCAAAAAAAACAAGGTAAGTTACAAGCAAAAACAGATTGTTCAGAAATACCACAAAATATGTGTTCAGTACTATCATCATTATCATCAGGTGACTTGCTAAATGGTTTGAGCGATCATGAATCTCCACAATCTACGATCTCCTGCAGCATGTACCAGTTCGAATGGCTCTATCCCTCCTTCCAAAGATCTGTCCAGTGGTCACAACATGTTCCATTTTCCCTCTTCTCATAACATGGCTGAAAAATAATAACTGTCTCCTTCTGATGTCTGTGATTAGTTGTCTTCAGGCTCCCACCTCTTTCAAAACCTCTTGGTTGCTCTTTTTGACTGTCCAAGGTATTTTAAGCATTCTTCTGTAAAACCACATCTCTGAGGCCTCAAGAAATTGTTTGGCCTGATTACCGATTGTCTAGGACTCACAGCCATATCTTAAAACTGGATGTATGTAGCAAGCAAGAATTCTTTTTCTAACCTTCAATGACATATATTGCATAAGATGTTCTTCATTTAATAAAATGCAGTTTTTTTCCTGTCTAATTATGTTTCTTATCTCGGTGATGCATCTTCCAAATAATATTATCAATGTGCTAAGATACTTAAATTTCTGTGCTTGCCCCAAAATAACACCACTGACTTTTATTACACATTTGGGAATAAATCTTTTATTTGATACCACCATTACTTCTGTCTTTCCATTATTCACACTGAGGCCCATTCTTCCACTTTCTACCACCAGTGACTATCTTTTCCTGTAGTTCTTTCTGACTTGTTGCTATCAAGACTGTGTCATCAGCATAATGTAAATTGTTTAAATTATGCCCACCAATCACAATTCTGGGTATATCAATTGAATATCTCATTATGTATTAACTGTATAATAAAAATAAATCAGGCCACAGTATACATCCTTGTTGTATGCCCCTCTTTATGCTTTGAAATGTACCTAAACAGTTTTTAATTCTTATAGCTGCTGTTTGCTGCCAATACATATTCTTTATTATTCGTAGATCTTTTCCACCAGTATTTAATTTTTCTAATATTTTGATTGCGTCTTCATGTTTCACACATTCAAATGCTTTTGTATAGTCTATGAAGCATAAGTACAAATCAGTCTTTTCTTCTATAGCTCTTTCTGACAATGCTCTTAAAATGTATATGGCATAGTTTGTACCTTTTCCTTCTACAAATCAGCATTGTTCAGTACTATACAATACATTTTTTAAGTTTAGACCATTTGAATCAGTTTTATGTCTCTATACCAGAAGATTAGATACCCAGAAAAACAATGCATGTTATAATGTCAAGCCAGATTTCTTAAACTTTCTCAGACCAAATGTTAAAGATCTGATAACACACATTTGATACACACGGGTCTTTGGACAGAAAGAAAAGACACTCAGTATATATTGTAACTGACTTGTTCTCATCTCAGTTGCTAACTGTTATTATATTTTCTACTAGTTCAGTTTGCTACAAAACTGAGACAATACTGAACTATAACTAACGTCACTAACCATTTCTGCCACTGTGAACTTAGTTAGACCTTCTCATTAATTGTTGTTTAGTATTATTAGCACAAGTCAAGTGTTCTACTTGCAAAGTGTAGATTAGTACTAACCACTTGCTTTCTTTTTCTGTACCACTGACACTCGAGGTCTCTGTGGGAATTTCTCTTGCACGGAAGTAACCTGGGGAGCTGGTGATTTTGAGTGTTGTAAAGGTGGTAATCTTAATGGTCTTGTGGTTGCTTTCGGTTTTTGAGATAGCTGTTTTCTGACAGGAGACCTTGAGGTCATCTCAGCTTTAGAAGCTGGTGGCACATTCTTAGATGGATCAGAATGGATTGGTTTCAGTAGTCGTCTTGAGACAACAGATAACTGCAGCTGTTCACCTTTGGTTGTTTTATCTAGAGGCAGTCTTGATGGTGGTTTCATAGCTGACGAAAATTTAACAACAGCAGACAGTTTCGCTAAAGATTGTTTCTTTAATTTTTCTGTAACTGGAGACTGCTGTTTTCTGACGTGGCCCTTCAAGGAATCTGGAGTGACTGACTGAGGAGTTGTCACTTTTCTGGAATTCTCAGAGATTATGGTTGTTTGAGCATCTGACGCATTTACTTTTAACTCCTGGTTGCTGGTCACATTTAAACTACTTTCATTACTCTTAACAGACAAAGGAACAGTCTTATCTTTGGATGGCTCTGAGATCTTATCAGGGGATGACTGTGTGATTTTAAATTTGGATGACACTGAAATTGTATTGTGGGATAGCTCTGTGTTCTTGTCTTTCACTGGCTCTGTGTTCTTGTCTTTCACTGGCTCTGTACTCTTGTCTTTCAAGGGTTCTGTATTCTTATCCTTCACTGGCTCTGCGTTCTTATCTTTCACTGGCTCTGCATTCTTATCTTTCACTGGCTCTGTGTTCTTGTCTTTCACTGGCTCTGTGTTCTTGACTTTCACTAGCACTGTGTTCTTGTCTTTCACCGGCTCTGTGTTCTTGTCTTTCACTGGTTCTGTGTTCTTGTCTTTCACTGGCTCAGTGTTCTTGTTTTTCATTGGCTCTGCATTCTTAGCTTTCACTGGTTCTGTGTTATTATCTTTTAAGAGTTCTGTGTTATCTTTCATTGGCTCTTTGGTCTTATCTTTTACTGGCTCTGTGAACTTATCTTTTTTTAGTGGAGGATCCTTTTGCAGCTCCATTGGCACATACTTCTTTATGTTGTTTACAAGTTCTGTAAACTTTTGGCCATCCCATGTCATCTGAACTGACTCATCCTAAAAATATAAACAGTATCAGAATGTATTAGTGATTCTGAAATTGGAGACTTGTTATTCAACAGAATGTAGCTTAGCAAAGTAAATAATGCAAACTGTATAAATAAAAATAAATAATAATACTACATGCTATTACTTTTACAGGATAAAAGGCACATTTTATTTGGCAAATCACAAGACTTAGGCTAATCTTATTCCATGTGAAGAGAATATGAGTGGCTGAAGACATCGGCCTCTGACTTAGTTCTTTTTGTATAATACGACTCATACTTTCATTTCTGACTTCTTTAATCACTGATTGTCACTCATTAATCTGTGTTATCAGTTTGACACACCCACATTGGACTACAGGTTAAGATGTAACCCTTTTGTGGTGTCCCAATATAACCATGCTGTATGGCTTAACTTTTGAATTGGGTTTCCATAATTTGCTAATGCAAATCTGGAGAGAATATACAAAAAAATGTTTTTAAAAAAACATCTGTTGATTTTTTCTGCCAATAGTATTTTATTTTAACTTCTCTGGACAAAACGTTTACTACATGAACCTAAAACTTCCCAGGATATAAGGATTTGAAGAAATCACAGACTGGCACTTAGAGAGTTATATAGTTCTGCTAGTTTCAAAATAATTTTTTAACTAGAACTTTGTCGTCTTGTGTGAAAGAAAAATCATAGTTCTCCTTTTATGCCGTAAGGTGTGTTGATTATTTGGTATTAGCTCTGTATTTTATGACAAATTAGCATATGAAGGTTGATAGGTGTCAGTTTCATGCCAAACTACCTTTTTTTTTTTTTGTTGGAAATTTTATGCCATTTTAGACTGGCTCAAATTAAGAGCCGATGTCAGTGAAAACAATCCCTTTCTTGATCTTATACACCCCTTTTTTTCTGCATGGTGAATCAGATGAACAGAATCATCTGTCAGTTTGGTTTCTGCCTGTAGTGACCAGATTTGAGCAATTGTCTTACAAGAGTTTTGCAAAACCAACTCAGAACCTATGGGCACCTGAGGTAGGGTGTAAGATATACCTCTGTATAAAGCCAACTGTGGATCTGGAGTGGCGAAGACTTAATAAAATAAAATAAATGTTGTACATGAATGAACTAGAGACTGTTAAAACACTGACTCTCTTAAAAGAATCAGCTCAGAAAATGGGACTTCAACATCTGCTAAAGTCAAAGTGTCTGCCTCGCAACACCAAAAAACATTGATAAGACCACTCGTTTTATATGGTTCTGAAACTTGGAGCACAACTAAAAGAGATGAAGCCTTATTACAAGTTTTTGAAGACAGAGTCATTACAAATCTTTGAACCCATCAAAGATGCAAACAGCGGGCAATGGAGAGTGAGAAGCAGCAACGAAATTCATAATCTGTTTAAATCACCTTTGATCACTGGCATCATGAGAGCTAATAGACTGAAATGGTTAGGGCATATTGAAAGAATGTCAGATGATAGAGAAAAACATATACACAAGGGAGATGAATGGTCGTAGACCACAAGGCAGACCAAGAAGACGAAGGAGAGATAATGTCCAGGCAGACCTGCAAACACTTGGTTTCACAAACTGGAAAGAGAGGGCCAACCAAAGAGATGAATGGAGGCGGGTGATATCTGCTGCAATGAACCTCAAGGGCTTGGAATGCTGAAGAATAAGAAGAAGAAATAATGTACATGGTTGGAATATTTACTGGTGAATAAACTTATCTCTGCAGCTCACAGCAATCTAACAATAAGAAAAAAATCAGTACCCATAAAACCATCAGCCTGCATCAGAAATTAAATAGGAAATAACATAAGCAGAATCTGATTATTTTTAATTAATCACTATTTATAACTGATCAACAAACTGAAATTACGATGGTAAAAATAATTTTTCCTTGAAATGTAAGTCATTGTCGACTTTGCAACATACAATAGGTAGAACGCTGATTCCTTGTGTGATTAAAACACATTTTATTCTCCAGCCACTTCATTTCCTGATGGCTCTGACTGTTATTTAGTCTGTCCCATTTATTTTTCTGTTTGAAATGTTTAATGCACTATTTCTATCTTAACCTTGTCGCCCCGAAAAGCCCAAAAAATTGACACTTCCTGTTGGGTTCAGTTTCCCATAAAATTTACTTTACTGACTTGCTATATGTCTGGAGAGGGCTAGTTGCTCTCATAGACTGTGCTTGTGCCTGTGCGGTGTTTAGGAGGTCAGGATATGAATATATTTACTAAAAGTAGCATTTTGGGGGTTTTCTTCTGAACTAAATGGCTTTTTAAAGCCATGTTGACATCAAATTTTTTCACAGTCGCAATGATAGAGGTCAGGGGGTAATGGCATGATATATATTTTTTTTGGACCCTATTATTGAAAAATAAACCAGCGTCCTAATATTTATAAACAATATCTGAACATAAAAAAAGTACCACTTAAAGCAGTATAATAAACACTTTCATAGCAATAAAACTACTTTAGGAAATCTTATGCAGAAAAGTTACCTTTGCACAGTTTATATACAGCAGCTGTGACAAAACCATACTCATAGGCCCACTGGGTGGCCAAGTCATTTGTTCCAGGAGAAGAGGCAAGAGAGGTTTCTTCAGTGCATCAGCCAGACTCACTTCACGACGACAGTTTGCAGATAAAGCATACTTCTGAGTCACACAGGAAACCACAACTTTGCAGCCACGGAGGCCTCTGTCAATCTTATCATAGAGTGAATCTCCTCCGCCCATTTGCTTGATATCCAGCCAACAAGTGAACCCAAGTGAGGTCAGCCGCTCGTAGAGTTTGATTATATGTTTTTGTTTGCCCCACTGGTATGATATAAACACATCAGGAGATTCTGCAGCCTGTGGAATGATTAAATGAAAGATTCTTGTAAAAACCATACTGGAGTGGAAAGCTGAAGACAACTGGTAGACATCTATACAATTGGAAGAATAACATAAAGGGAAAGAGAAAGACAAACATAAGTTTCAGAGAGTGTACAAACAGCGAGTGTTAGAGATTCTTTGCAACCAACCTTAATAATGGAGACAGAATATGCTTGATTAGACTGATTAATAGAAGAACACAGGGTTTATTTAACTTTTTTTTTTTTAAATAGAGAAAAATCCTAGATAAATGCATTATTTATATTCATAACATTACTTGGCACCCCTCCACACACAAAAAATGCTGAAATAAAATACTAACAGGAATGAAAACAACACAGGCTGTCACTCATAGTAGATTAAAAATTACATCTGTCTGTTTTAAAATGTTTTTAAGAGTACTACACAACAAAAAATCGACACAGTATTCAAAATCCCTTATAATGAGTATTTTTTAAACATGCAAAGCTTTTTTTTTTCATTTACAGACAGCCTTTTTTTTAAAAACTTATTCCATACCAAATTTATAAATTTCGAGACTCATTCATGCAGGTAAATCAGTATCTGGAATTTAACAAGTAAATTATACTACAGAAATTTTGACTCATTTTATACCCATACCAAGTAAAAATATATATCATCTTCCTTCATCACAATCAATCATCCCATTTATCAGATGCAACTTTTCGCTATTTTGAAGCCCAAGCCTGGCTGCTGCCCGGGACCCTAATATAATCTAATGGTTGAACAGGGTTTCCAGGACCTCTCCATGGGTGATCCTCATCCTCATGGTGGCACTTTGTGTCACTGGGTGTTTATCGCTCTGTGTGATGTCCTGGTGGGGTTAAACTTAATTATCATCTTCCTTGACAAATTTCACATCAATTAGATCAAATTTAAATTGTATTGAGTGGTTGAAAATAACTGCTGTACCTTTAAATCCTGTACTGAGGGTTCCATTTGTTGGGTATAGCCACCATTCTTAGTTTTATTCTTGTCAATTTTAATTTCTTGGACAACTGGCATCCACCAGTTCTTGTACACTTTAGACAGAAAACAGCTGTAGTCTTCATGTTGAATTTACTGTCAGTGAGTACACATATACGCACACATATAAACATATCATCCAGTGAATACACATCATCATCATCATCATCATCATCAGGTGCCTTGCTGACTAGCGTTAGCGATCATGCCTCTCCACAATCTGTGATCTCTTGCAGCATGTATCAGTTCATATGCTGACACACCTCCATGCCATGCAACAAGATTGTCAAAAATCTTCTCTTGTTGTCTTCCTCTGTCCCTCCTTAAACAGATCTTTCCAGTAGTCACAACATGTTCCATTTTCCTTCTTCCCATAACATGACCAAAAAATGATGACTGTCTCCTTCTGATGTTTGTGATAAGTTGTCTTCGGGCTCCCACCTTCTTCAAAACCTCTTTGTTTCTTTTTTTTTTTTTTTTTTAGCTGTCCGAGGTATTTTAAGCATTCTTCTTTAAAACCACATCTCTGAGGCCTCATGAAATTGTTTGGCCTGACTACTGATTGTCCAGGACTTACAAACATATGTTAAAACTTGTTGTATGTGGCTAGCAAGAATTATTTTTCTAACCTTCAATGACATCGATATATTACACAAGATGTTCTTCCTTTCATAAAATGCCGTTTTTGCCTGTCCTATTCTTTTTTTATTTTTATTTTAGTGATACATCTTCCATCTGATGTTATCCATGTGCCCAGATACTTAAATTTCTGTACTTGTCGGAAAATAACACCATTTACTTTTATTACATATTTAGGAATAATTCTTTTCTTTGATCTGACGATTACTTCTGTCTTTCCATTATTCAAACTGAGGCCCATTCTTCCACTACAATGTCTATCATTTCCTGCAGTTCTTTCTGACTTGTTGCTATCAAGACTGTGTCAGCATAACGTAAATTATGCCCACCAATCACGATTCCAGGCATATTAACTGTGGGTTTCATGGCCCCATTGTGGGAAAAACAAGAATAGACCCACTGCCTACCCAAAAGCATGTCGTAAGAGTCAACTAACTGGGGGCTTCCTTTGAAGTTGGAGTGCATCTGCCTGAGAGGCAAAGAACCAAAAGTCTGCATTTAAGTGAATCAGATCTGTAAAACTGATGCACACGCAACACTCAGGTTCTGGAGCAGGACTGCAGTCCAAAAGTAGGTTGAAACCCCACATGGTCAACATTCTCATAGCAATCTAACATTCACTTTCTCTCTTTAAGTGTTTTTTGTGAGTGTTTTCAAAAGACTAATCTTGTAGGAGTAGTTGCAATCAAATTTTGTATCACAAGATGGTTCATACGATTGATCCTTTCAATGAAGACTCATTGATGCAAATACAAAGTTGATATGCCGTGATATTGCTATTTTTTTTTAGACAGAACTATGTGACACTGGGAACCACCATGGTGTAGTGCAGTAGTTCTCAACATTTCTAGTGCCGTGACCCTTTAATACAGATCCTCACACTGTGGTGACCCACCCCCCCCCCCCATCCCCAACCATAAAATTATTTTTATTGCTACTTCAATGAATAAGTGTTTTCCAACCCCTGTGAAATTGTCATTCGACCCCCAAAAGTGTCACGACCCACAGGTTGAGAACCACTGGTGTCGTGGCTAGATGCTCACATGAGGAACCAAAAATCCTGGGTCCTGATGGAGCTGGACTTTTTGTTTTTAAAATTGACCATGCCTTTCTGGTCGACCCAGCCTTAAATGGGTACCAGGTAAAGTCTTAGAAAGTCAAGGCAGCTGGCATTTTGTTGACCACATCACCCACTGAATGCCGATTAGTTACAAAATATGTTTCTGCCCCTATGCCCAAAATGCTTGAAGGTGACTCTGAAAGCGTGCTGAGAAAGGTTAAGACAGGGATGCTTTGAGCAGAGTGGCAAGCTACACTGGGAAGGTCATACTTTGGATCTTTTCTCCAGGCTATGCTGGCATGGTAGGTAATGAACAGGCAGAGAGATTGGCTGGATCTGCACCACTGGGTGGTGAACTGATACATGACAAGGCAGATGTAGTCAAGACCCTTTGGGAACAAGCAACGGAATCAGTAGAGAAAGATTTTTATGGCCTGGGGAGAATGAGACACTTGGTTGTAACCAGAGGGTCTGGCCAGCTCACTACTCTCAGAAGAAAGGCAAGACAGACATATAATCAGATTGTAACCAGTACCAAAGGTATTGGAAATCTGCACTGGCTGCTGAGATGAGCACGGAGCACACATGGGAATGTCCTGAGTGCTGTGATGTCAGTTCTTGAAAATTCTTATAGCAATTTTCCCCTCACTCTTGAGGAATCGCTTGTAATGCTGTCAAGAAAGTGTTTCTAATGCTCTTCATATGTATTTTTGCATATGTACACGAACACACATAGGCACAGATACACCCACACACACATATATGCATTTTTGCTGTAAACTTGAACAAAGTATCTTTATTGTATACAGATGCCAAAATAAACACAAAATAAATCATGCGTTTTTGTTATATTGCTTCTAGGCCCTAACATACCTTGGTCTATCTTTTTCTCATTTGGTGGAAGACCAAACGTGTTGATTTGCAAAAGCAGCTCCTGAAACTTTTCCTTAGGCCAGTATCTGTCATCACTTAGTTCTTCCCCTCCACGCTGATAGAAGCGCACAAATAAATATTCACTGAATATTGGTCCCATAGACCCAGGAGGTGGCCAGGTGCATGACTCTAGCAGTAATGGTATCACTGGTTTGTTCAAGCTAACTGCCAGGTTCACCTTTACACAAAATTAAAATTAAAATAATGTTGATATAGCATTAACATTTAGAGAAGCAAGTTTTAAAATGTGACCGATCAAATATAATTTCGATGTTGCATTCTTGATTTACAAATAATTTTTTCTATAATATATAAGTTTAACATCATCATCCTGCTGTGCTATTTATGAATCAAATAGGACTCACACTCTGTTCCTCTACTCTACTCTATCCAGCGCAATATTTTTTAGCTATGGAATCCACTCCAGCACCTTTGACCACTTTTATCAACATGCATTAAAGGGTTTCTTTTAATATCTTCATTTCTGTAGTCTATTTCCCAAATACCATGCCTGTTTGGTGATTTATGTCTATATTTTCTCTCTTTTTGTGCTTTATAACTGTTGATACTAATGGTTGTCCGAACATATTTTCTTATTTTTTCACCTTTGTTGAATTCATACAGTTCAGTTTTGACCAGTTTCGTCTTCATTTAACTTTCATTCCATATCTTAAATAGTTCTTCAACTTTCACTGACATAAGTTAAAAGTGAAATACCATTAGAACTGAAAATATGTAATTTGGTTTTAAAACTATATAATTTTAAGCTCAATATTTTGTTCCAACTTTTAAAAGCTGCCATTGTCTTGCTAGTGTGTATCATAAGTTTTCTTTGCATTTCACTGGCAATCAAAACTGTAACCTAAATAGGTAAATTTATCTGTTCATACTTTATCCATAATCATCTCATTTAAAAAGTGAGAAAATAAAAACCTAACCAAATGAACAGCTGACCTCTCTATTGCAATTAGGGGACTTGGCATATTTAGCAGTCACACAGCTGATGATTATCTTAGCTCCTCTGATGCCCTTGTCGATCTTCTCAAACAGCTTGTCTCCACCTCCCATTTGACCAATGTCCAGCCAGCATTCATAGCCAGCCATTTCTAAATGCTGCTTAAGGAGTTTCACTTCAGGCTGGTGGCCCCATTGATAGCTAAGGAAGATCTCTGGTGGAGATGTATACTCAAAGCCTTCATCTTCTACAACAGCCTCTGAAATATAGAACATTTAATGCAACAGCAAGAGAATTATAACATAATGTGATTTATTTTCTGGTCTTCTCTGTCACTGAGAGTTTGTTGAAAGTTTTAGTTTCTCTCCTGAACAGATAAATAAAAATAATATATTATAAATGGCATCCAATACTGCAAACTTAAATATTCAGTTTAATTTAATTGGCTCTTAAATCTTTCTTTTGTCAAAATCTGCTTTTGCCGCTAGGCGTCGCAGTCTATCAGATGATCGGCAACCGAGCCAGGGCGCGCTCAGTCGCTTCATATGCCGTGATGTTATGAAGTCTCAAGTTGTCCGTGACTCCTTCAATCCATCTTCTTCTTGGTATTCCCCTGCCTCTTGGTGTTTCGATTTTCATGTTGTATGCTCTTGATGCTGGCATCGTTGGTTCCATTCTCATTAGGTGACCAAACTTGGGCTCTTAAATAAACAAAAATATATTGTGTAACTATTTTGAGCAGTAGTAAAATATGCTAAAATTATATACCCTGTGGTTAACTGACTTTATTTTATTCACTCGTAGTAAAGGAGGAGGTTATTAGTTTGTTTTTACTGTAAAGTTAAAAATTCTTTGTGGTATCCACCATGTGACTTATCGGATGGTGTAGGCACTTATGTCCCTTCACAGATCTTGGAGGTTAGTATTCTGGATCAGTACAATTTATATGTCTCCTTCCACCATCCTAGCTTCATTTCTCTCAGTCTGCTTCTGCCTCTTCTGCTACTTATTTTTACAGATATAATGTTCTCCAATGCCCCTCCACTCATTATAGGACCAATGAATATTATCTGGCTCTTCTCACAGTTGCTTGTAATACACTTTTATTAGCTTCTTTTCCTGGCAATTCTTGTTAGTCTTCACTGACTCTAAGCTCTTCCTAATTTGTTTATTCATATTCCAAGATTTGCTTGCATTATTTTCAAACATATTTAACGTAACATTTCAGTACTCTTTTTATCTCCTGAAATGCAGCTTTTGTTGCTGCATCTTAGTCTCTTGTGTCCCATATCTTCCATCTGCTGTTATGATTCCTTCCTAAATATTAGATTTTTTAAACTAGTTTAGCATTTTTTCATGATTATATTATATTTGAAAACAATTATATTATATTTTCTTCAGTATTCAAAGCCTTTGAAGTTCAGTGCTGCAGACATCACCCACCACCACTCATCTCTGTAACTGGCCTCCACTTTCCAGCTGGTGACTTCCAGTGTCTGCAAGTCTGCTGGTGTAGGTCTGCTTTCCATCATCTTCTTGGCCTGCCACAAAATCTATTTCCATTCAATGCATATTTTAATGGGTTAAAGCAATTCAATAGAGACAGATCAATTACCAGAATTTTTCATGGCATTTTCCACAATTATTGCAGTATCCATTCGGTCCATCTCCTGCAGCTGAGTCAGGACAGCATATGTGGCCTCACTTGTTTTTCTGACAGCATACCTGAAATATTGCCCAGGCATGATGACACAGTTACACAGAGCAGAGCCCAACTACAGTATTAGAGGAACAAACACATTGTTATTTTGTTTGAACCACATAATCTTATGAAAACATATATGTGCTTCATGACCTTTACCACATCTTGCAAAAGACATATCAATACAAACAATTGTTATAAAATCTAATGTTCAGACATATTTAGAATATGTAAATATAAATATTTTTATAACTTTTTTTTTGGGGGGGGGGGGGGGGGGGGGGGGGGGGGGGGGGTAGATGTATATATTAACTAAAAATGCAAAATGAATCCATGTACATGCCAATGCCACACTTAGAGATGAAAGGATTTGAGATGAAAGGCAGAAGGAGACTACTAAGAAACAAACTTCAGACTAATGTGCTGGTTGGCAAGTGTACCAACTACTATATGATGTTTCCATTAATAACTTCAGGAAATTGCTATGAAGACAAAGATAAAGAAAGGACCAAGAGAAACTCTAAATAAAACAGAACTTAGTAAACTATAAATAGTGGTGCACCGCCTTCTCTATATTACGCCATCTAACTAAATCACGTGACTTTTTGGATGGAGTCCCTCGAAAACTGGTTAGTGTAAGCCTCTTCCATGTGTTGCATTGTGTAACATTTTAATGTGCTTCCAAAATTCTGTGTTCTGAATGAATTTGTATTACAAATCTACAAGTGGATATTGTGAAGTGGATATACAAGATTTTCAAACTTTGCTGTTAGATTATAGCAATTTGAATTTAAATTCACGGGAGACAGTTGTGTTGTGATGTGTGTGTCACTGTTTCTAGTCAGTAGTTTGGATTTTTGGGAACTAGCTGTTTATTCTTTTTCTACTTTGAATGTGGAAAACTTACTTTTGGGGAAAATACAAACAGTTAATTTATAAGCCAGATCTGGAGAATTTTGACGGTTGTCAGGTGCAAACTATTTTGCGTTGGAAGAAAACTTGCTTTCATATTGATTTTGCATAAATGGTGCAACTACACTGTGGATAAATTGTGTCAAGATATTTCAGAGCTCTGGGCAAGTGGATAAAAACAATATTTACTAACTAACCTCTCACAGCAAGTCACTCTTTGCCTATTTACTAATTGTTGACTAACAGTATAATTATATGTTGTAGAAGTACACTAATAATATTAATCATTAACCATTTGACTTATGCTTCGCGAACACTGGCTGTAAACTCTTGCGGAAACTTCTGGTTGTTCATCCACTTCTTATGCATATTTGCAGTTGTACGGTCTATGTTAATTTTTGTAAATTGGCTTTTGCTTCGCGAACACTGGCTGTAAACTCTGGCAGAAATTTCTGGTTGTTCATCTTATTCTGGGCTTTAGTCTTGTTCCACACAGTTTTGAACAACGAGATCTTTTATCTTTGTGGGGATTTTTAAAATATGTCAAAAATTAATGAAACTGTAGTTTAATTTGTGTATACATCTCCTTGATAAAAACTGTGGACGTAGAGGGACTCAATTCTTGCACAAAAACGGGAATCCCCGTTGACCTGTTTGGCCTATAAATATAGAAGGCCATGAGTGGTGAAAATACAAGAGTATTTCATAGAAATATACAAGGGAGAGAGAAAAGCACAATAAATAATCAAGTTTTATTTCTAAAACCTAAGGAATTTTGATTATATTTCACCACTGTATTTCCAACTTCTTCAGTTCTTGAATCACTCTGGCCTCCACATATAGATTCCAGGGCCCCATTGTGGGAAAAACAAGAATAGACCCACTGCCCCAACAAGAATGTCAAAGTAGGCAACTAATTGGGGGCTTACTTTGAAGTCAGGGTGCATCTGACTGGGATGCAAGGAACCAACAGTCTGCCTACAAAATATAAATAAGCGAGACCTGTATAATGGATGTGCACACAACACTCAGCTTCTGGAACGAGACCAAAGTCCAGAGGTGGACAAATAACCAGAACTTGCCACCTGAGTTTACAACCGGCAACACGAAGAAGAGGGGCCTGCTTGGCAGATGATGGTACTAAGAATGGACAATTCAGTCAGGGGTAGACCAAGAGAGAAGATTTTGGACAATATGGCATCATGGCTGGCACAATGACTGACACCCACAGCATGGACAAAGAATAAGCATGAAGACACTACAGATGGTAATGTTGCTGCACAAGCACAAGCTGTACAAACACTTTTGTACAGACCATTCATTCAGCATTGCCATGCATGGGTCAGCTTGCTGGGCCCATCCTCTTATGTCATCATTGCTGTATCCCAAACGTCTGCTCAGCAAGCGCCAGTCATGTTCAGAAACTGGGTTCAATAATTTGGACACATCTCTTGCCCAGAAAGGTGCATGGCTCAGTGTCTGGAATTTAAGAATTTACACCATGACAACATTCCATAGTAAGATATGCTCACCGTTATATAAAATGCAATCACTTGTGTTATATACAGAAAATAAAACTCTTCACAGCACAGGTATAAAGCATACTCTGCATACAAATTTTCTACATTTCATACAGGAGACAAAGCATCTATGGCTATGCCCGGTATTCTATGATGTTGATTCCTAAATAAGTTACAAAAAACTAATGTTCCCTAGATACTTTTGCTTGTTTGAGTTTCTATGCATATCTTCACTGTTTTTTTTTTTTTCTGTTCTTGGCTATTAAAACATATACATTCACATGTTTTTACTAGGTGCTGATTTACTTCATAGGTCTTGTGTTCTCCATAGTTGTTGCTGGTTGATCGAGTCAAAACAATCCATACCTTATATTAACAATAATGCATATACATCAACTTTCAACTTTTTTACTTGGATGGTTAGTTTTTTTTAAACAATAATATAAATATCCAAAAGGCTTCATCCAACGCTTGGAACCATCACTTTGGTAATTGTTTGCCTTTCACTATGTCAGTGTCAAAGCACTTTCAGAATGTTTTACAAGTGTTTTGTGTGGCCATTTGCTGTTATCCCAGAGCATTAATTTTTCTGCCCTCTATCTCCCAAAAAAAGCAATCAATCCTCAGCCAACTCAGACTTGCTCTCAGTTGGCATTTGTGGCTGACACTTTTTAATGGGATGCAGTACGCAAACTCAATCTTACACTTAGTGACTGACTGACATTTGACCCCACCACGATATAACACCCAGCTATAAACATCCGGTGACACAAAGTGCCACCATTCCAATGAGGGTCACCTGGGGACAGACCCCAAAAACCCTGTTCAACCTGTAGGGTTATAATTAGGGCCTTCGACCAAAACCGGGGTGGGGCTTCAAAATAATGAAAAAATATGTCACCAACTACCCTTAGACATCTTTTGAAACATAATTGACAGGGTAAGGTGTTAAAAATTATGTGATTCTTCTAAAGATTTCACTATGAATGGATACGAAAATTAATATTGTCTTACTGATTCAAGAATTCTGAAGAACTGGCTTTTTTAGTTTGATATAAGAAAAAAATGTGAACCTGTAAAATTCTCTTTTGTTTATAAATAAATTTACTGAGTATTTCTGTAATACTTCATTTAAAAAAAAAGTAAACCTGTTAAATGGAAATTTAAAGAGAAATAGTATTAACATTTTCATTCTGTTCATTTGAAATGTCAGTTAAATACAAACTAGTATGATACTTAACCCATGCTTATAGCTACATAACATAATTTAAAAAATTTGCAATAAAGAAACATAAAATGCTCTCACCTTTTGATCAATTTCTTCCACTTTGATGACAGTTTCATCTACTGTTTGCTGTATCTCATCCAGATGCTGGCCTTGCTCATCAACTGTTTTCTTTGTAGTCTCCAGCTGTTCTCCTTGTCGTTCTAGCTCATTCTTGACATCTGTAACTGCTTCCTCTGTGTCATCCACTCTACCAACCAAGTTTTGAATATCTTCTTGTTGTTTGTGCAGTTTTTTCAGCATATCTTCAGACCTATGAAACATATTGATTTGGTCTTAAGAAAGAATTTACATTAAGTAGCACATTTTGAAATTCTATCATTTCCATTTTTAAATGATTTTGAAGATGAATTACTTAATGAATGTTAATGCTTTCTATGATCCAGAACATCTAGAAATGAGTTCTTCTGAGTCAAATTCTGTGTCATTTGAAAAGGCACAGCATGATGATGAGGACGCTATGATACCTAGATATTTAAATCTAATGTAAAACAAATCAATACATCATATCATACACCGCTTTAAAAAAAACCCTAAGAACAAAAATATGAATTAAATGGTACAGAACATTACAACAGCAATATGTCATTAACTATATATAACAGAACATTCTATATGGGCAAATGGCAAAGACCAACAGAAATATTTCATGTCCACAGCTATGATTCAAAGATACCTGCTGCTGAAACATTAAACAGCTAGGAATAGTCACCACAATGTGGTCAGAAATGGGTTCTGATCACGACGCCTCGAAAAAGACTGCAAGGAATTATGAAGTTTGTGGAAGGAGACTACTTCAACAAGCATAACAGAAAAGAACCTGTCAAAAGAAATGCCAGGCTGTGTGCCTGGTAGCTTTCTGCTCACAAGGCACAACACAAGAGTCAGATAAAACTGAAGGAGTCCATTGTATTTGTGAAGTGTTTAACAGTCTATATTTAGTATGTATTTAAAAAAAAAAAATTAGCTAGCATCATATGTTTAAGACCTCTTTGTGATAAGTGAGTTGTTTATTCTTTACTTCCCAATTATATCCTGGAATTAATTTTAGCCTGGGTCAACCTGGCAGTTCAAGTCACATTAATAATCTCGCTTGTTAGGGTTTTCAACCTATGACAATTAATCTACCACATAAATGAAGACTATACCCTTACAAAAATGCAACAGTAGCAACCAGATTGTACCTCTCACGACATTTCCTCATTTATTCAAGACTGATAAAAGGGATCCCTACAGTGAATAATTAACAAATCAAGATTCCAAATAGATGTATTGATGAAAAAGTAACTATTTTCCCTACCGTAATAAGAGATTAATAAATGTACAGTACCTGTTAAAATAAATAGCTTTAATAAAATTAGTACAGTCATCCTGATGAATTATGTTAAATAAAGATAAGGAAGAGGATATGCCAGTCAACTTCAACTGGGTAGAGTGAGCAGAGAGACAATTAGATAGCTGCTGCATCAGAGGATGGATGTCAAATGGGTCAGACAAATGTGCTAGGCTGTTGAAACTAATAACAAGTAGCCAGTGACACATGAATATCATTAATATGTAAATTAGTGAAAGCCATCTGCTAGAATTTACTGATTTAATATTGGGTATCATAGAACACCAGGTATACCCACTGATGCTGCAAATGTCTTGAAGTGTAGAGGATGAACATTCCAGAAGCACACTCGTTATACACATAGTCTTCCTGTCATTCTCATTACCTTACTTGCCACATTCACACTCAACCATATTCCAACAACACTACATATATCATTTCATCAAATGTTCTTTTTCCATCAGCATTTATTCATATGAAGTCTTCTGAATGTCTACCCAATCCATTATGAATGTAGCTACAGTTGTTGGTTTTGTAGCCAGAAAATACATTAATTCACTGAATTTTTTTCTTGGGGAGAATGGTGCTGTGAGGTGTGACCAGGGGGATCTAGCTGACACTCTATACTCAGAAGAAAGCTAAATTGGTATGTAATCAAATTGCTACTGGTACCATCAGAATCGTCTGTGGCTTAGGAGGTGCCGGGTTCGATACCGGATGCCGGCTTTGTGCCTTGTGTTGGTTCGGACAGTGGTATCGAGAAGCCGAACGTCCAGAAAGCAATTGCAAACTACAGAAAGTAAACTTGCCTAGAAAAACCACGACAGTCAAAATGCTGGGGTTAGTTCTGCAATGTCCTGTAAAGGGTATGTAACTAACTTTTTTAAACATCAGAATCGGAACTCTTCACTGGTTGCTGAGGATAAGGACAGAGCATGTATAGGAATGTCCTGAGTGCTGTGATATCAGTTCTCAACTCAGCTCTTCAAACTCTTGCCCTGGGCAATATATCCGTGTTAAGTCTTTGTGAAGTTAAAGTGATAATGCAAGAAATAATAGGTTATGTACCGGAATTCATTTATAACAGAAATCAAATGATATATATATCATATACATAGCAGGCTTGTCAAATTGAAGGTCCCTCTGATGGCCATATGGGACACATCTCTATTGTCATTAGCCACACAGGACATTAACTGAAGTAATTTAATTTTTTTTTATATTGCATGTAAAGGGCTGCACGCAGCCCATTAGCTGCCATGTTTGATTTGCCTGGCACAAAGAGCTGATATATTTAAATATAAAATGTACTTACGTTTTGCCATCAATCATGTCAAGAATAGTCTGCCTCATGTTGACTGCATCAACATCTACAAGCTGCATTTGATCCAACTGACTCCTCATTGGCTTCAGCAACTCTGGGTACTTGAAGCCAATCATACGGATAGAATTCAAGGCAGTGACCAGAGAAGATTTATCCTGACTGGATTTTGCTGTAAGGAACATGTCATCTAAAACTCTTGGAGCCAGATCCTGGTTGGTTAGAAAAAATTTATGGATGATTGCTTGAGAACAATACAAAACAAAACAAATTATCTGTTACATGTAAATATATACATGTCATGTGATTATTCTCCTCCTATCTTAAAGTCAAAACAATACAGTTTATACCAGACCATTCAACAGGCCCGTAGAGGTATGGCAAGTGACATGTTGATCACCAGCCAGCTGTATTGCATTAATTATCTTTCTATACTGGAGCTTGGGCCTTTGGCCAGTGACGATCCCCATTTTTCCAAAGTTTTAGCCCCTGTGTGAACTTAGTTGATAACCCTGATGTAGACAGTCTGAGGACTGAATTCTGCCCTTTTCTTGTCATAGTTTTTCTTAAAACATGTTATCAAAGCACCATGTGAAACAAGCAGTGAAGTGTATTACATGAGGGAGACAGGGGGAATGAGGGGGGGGGGGGGTTTCAAAATGATCTCAACATATACACAAACAGATGAATTAAACCCCTAAATAATAGTTAACCTAATCGGGAAAAAATCACTCACCTCTTTGTAAATAGCTAGTGTGCTCAACATATCTTTTATGTAGTAGGAAGACATCACTGGATTCCACAATGAGTGGTCAAGCAACAGATCAATATGTGGAACTAAACATTCTGGCCGCCTCTTACACAGTTCACTAACAATGCCGAGGAATGTTGTCTGTGAGTTCACAACTTTTTGGGCTTTGTTGAGCAGAATTTCTACATCTTGTTCTGTGAACAACTGAAGACCAAAAATCAAAAACATATTTTTGTTTTGTCTGAAAATCCTTCTGGAATGAAAGCTAAACAATTATGATAGTGAATCTTTTACATTTATTTTTAAAGCAGACACACTAGTTTATTTGCATCTATAATAACAGAAGATAATATAGTAACATTTAAATGATGGCCGGACATTTTTTTTTCATAGTTCAACACAATAAAATTTGTTTTTTTTTTTGTTTGTTTGTTCAGTAGAAAGGTTACAAATGTGTTTGAAGAAAGCAAAATGAAATAAATGCATTCATTAACTTTAGCAGCACAAATTAACAAATTTCCATCATGTTATGAGAACTAAATTTGTCAGGGAATAAACTGTCAGCAAATTTCAACACTTTTCTATGTACTATTTGTAAATTCTGCAAAGCAAATTGCATAGTATGTTTTATTAATGCAGTTTTAGACAAATGAACTGATGATATGTAGTAAACACTGAGCTACCAAAGATTTTTTTACATTGGTAGATTAAAAGTTAAAATTGCACATATACTCATCAAACCTGATAGTGTATAACCAGTATGTGAGAAGGCTTAATAATTTTCCATCTGCGTTTTATAAAGAAAAGACTGAACATAAAATAGCAAGATGAGGTCACAGACAGGAAGCTCTTAACAAACTAAAAAGAAAAGCACCAACACTGTGGTTTGCAAATATAAGCTCTGAAGAACTGGTAATGATTTAATCTAACATAAATTTCCAACAGTGAATGCAACTGTATTAACAAGGCTCTTAAATGATAAAAGGCTGATGCTAACACACTGCGAAAAGTATCAAATAGATGCTGAAAATGCATTATAATTATTTCTTAAATTTCTATTTATTATCTGTACTGAATTTTTTTTTTTAACCCAGAAATTTTTTAATTCTTCGTCATCAATAGCTCTTTGAGTCCCAGGTAGATGTTTATTTAACTCATTCCATCCACAGCAGGAGTTGATGTAAATATCAATGTCTTTATGTCTACATGCCTGAGTTTAACAGACCTATGGAACAGCAGGTTTGAAAAGCCTTTAGAGCAAGTGCGTTATTGTAACATTGGACTAGATGGAATAATATTTAAAACAAATCTAGTTAACATATAATGTGCTATTTTGGCAGACAGAGAGTGATATTCACATGGTCTAACGCACTGTGTTATATTTTATGTCAATACAGTTCCAACACTAGACATACCTCTGCTTGTTTTGTTGACACTTTCTGAAACAGCATCCCAAGATAGGTGAGCACACTAGTGTCAATGGTCTCTTCTAGCAATTCCATCAAGCTACGGAAGTGATTCTTTAAGGCTTTGGGGTTACAGGGATAAATCTCATTGATGGCAACTAGGAACAGAAAAAAAAAAACATGGAAAAATGACCAGATGAAGAGATGTACTACATCAAGGAGATGTATATTTATTATTAATAAAACAGTGAAATATAGTTGAATTCAAATGTATAAGTGAAGAATAGCTGAGAATATTCAGGATATCATGACATTGGGAGATCTACTTAGATAAATATTTCAGACTTTTATTCTTCTATCTTCTTTACAACTTCATTTTAACTGCTAAGAAAGGGGCAGAAAATGAACAGGAAGAGAATGCAGTAACATACAATGAGAAGAAAAGGGCCATCCAGGCTATTAGAAGTGAACAGAGACTGGCCAGAGATGACTACCACTTACTTGACAGGCATGGGCAGGTAATTGTCCTACGTCTCAGGACAGGACATAACAAACTTAATCAGCATATGCACAGGCTTCGTCTAAGTAGTTCACCCGTGTGTCCTTGTGGGCTAGGTGTGCAGACTACAGAACATGTCCTGCAAGAAAGTCCCTTGTTCAACCCATTAAGAAGGGAATACTGGCACAGTGAGTCACCACTGCACACAAAGTTGTATGGGACTAAAAAGGAACTCATAAAAACAGTCTAGTTTATCACAAGAAGCTGTCTGTCGGTGTAAATCAGAAAGCGAACACAAGAAGAAGAAGAAGAAGACTGATAGATAGAACAAGATAAGGTAAAATGTTATAATAAGATGTTCTAAGATAGCTAGTGTCTGAAAACAGCTGAGCAAGCAGTTTCATGCTACTTACGCAGAAGCATATCCTGGCGTTTTTCCAAGTAGATCTTAATAAGATCATCCAGATATGGAGCTACAGCTTGTTGACCTGAAGAGACTTTGCCAAGCATGTTGAGATAAACAGCACACAGCTGTACTACACTTTCATCATCCACTTCTAAACATTTCATGAGTCTAGGCACTAGCTCCTCAGCCAAGTTCATTTTGTTCAGTGCAGAAAGCTGAAATATAAGAATGTAGGCTAAAAAGTTAAAAGTCATCATTACAATAAAGATATAACTGATAATATAGCAAACCAGAGTATACATAGCTGGCAAGCTTCAATTAGAAGTAAAGTAAAGTCACTGCACACGGTTATAAACCATAAGTGCTCTGCCACCAGTAAGGATTACTGATAAGAAACTATCCGCCTGTGTCACCGTCCGCACAAAACTCCATAGCTACAATGATGTTCCTCTATTTACCCCAGTGTTAACCATTTCCTAGAGGCTGGGTGAACCCCAGGAACCGCCCGGTTATGAACACCGGCCGTGAGCTGCAGCGAATCGCAGCAAATTAGAAGTAAGTAAGCATAAGGTCTGGAAAATATGAAAGAGACTGTGGAAATGATAACCAAACATTTAATCAAGTTGCTACTGACACAGTCATCATGGAAACTCATGCTGGTTACTGAAAAAAAGTCACAGAACAGAAGCCCAAATATCCAGAGTTAAGTGATGGCAGTTCTTGATTTATTCATTCATTATGCTAAAGATGATGTGTAGCTAAAAAGTTCAGTCATCATTATAATAAAGATATAATTGATAATGTAGCAAACCAGAGTTTACATATCTAGCAAGCTTTAATTAGAAGTAAAGTAAAGTCAGGAGAAGTGAGCCAGGGTCACTGCACACGGTTATAAACCATAAGCGCTCTGCCACCAGTAAAAATTTCACTTGTGAACCAAATGCCACATCAATGGAAATTACCCATGACCTTAAGAGTCCAAGGCAACTGGCCTGACCATTTTGCCATGGAGACCCTAGTGAAGCTATTCTAACATCGCCCCACTAAATATTTAACTTAGTGACTGTCCACACATTGTTAAGAAATTATCAACTCCAGTCCTGTTGAGCATGATCTTAAAATGTCAGTCTTATATTTCATCATCCATACCATTTGCATTGCCAATTTAAATTATACATTGTGTTAATCCGTAGATTTTCCTAATGAAAGAAGTAGGCTGGGGATCCAGACATATTATATATTTCTCCACATCACACTCATTGAAGCTTCCTTTCACAGTGGTTGACATGCTGTTTTCTGTCAGAATGTCTGAATTTTTATTTTATAATTTATTTTCATTGCAATGTGCATGCTCTGAATACAGATTTTTGTTTAGAACCATCTCAGTGACACTGACTTGTTATGTTTTTTTATTGTTTAGAACCATCTCAGTGACACTGACTTGTTATGTTTTTTTATTGTTTAGAACCATCTCAGTGACACTGACTTGTTATGTTTTTTTATTGTTTAGAACCATCTCAGTGACACTGACTTGTTATGTTTTTTTATTGTTTAGAACCATCTCAGTGACACTGACTTGTTATGTTTTTTTATTTGTTTATTGTGACTCCACCAGCAATGTATAATGTCACACAAGTTTGCTTAAAATATCTCTCTACCCTGTGATACATTATTAATTTATTCCATAATCAACTCCCTTTCTTTCTCTCTCTTTCTCTTTTTCTCTCACACACACACACACAAACACATACACATATGAGCACACACATATCCACATTTCAGTGATGTAAATGGAAAAATAAAAGATTATGAGGGCAAGTATTATAAGACTGTAACTCTTCCATATTAAAATGTTTGTTATCAGACACAAATAAACAAAAGATTTTCTCAAAAGCATTGAAAACTTACCCAGTTAAAGAGGACTTTGATTATAGTGAGGAACACTAAAAAGTACACAGATGGGAACTGGCCTGTCTCCGGATGTACACAGTCGTAACTGAGACTAGTGACACAGACTGAAACAAACACCCTGAGCTCCTCATCAGTAAATGCCTTACCATCTCTGAAAAGCAAAAGTAATCCCAGTCAGAATATATGGTCATGGGTATTTTTTAAATGTTTATTTATACGTAAGCTATTTAAAAGACTCAGCAATGAAATAGTACCAAAGCAATGTCTGCTCAGGTAAAATTATGATTATGAGTTCAAAATAGGAACAAAAAGGAACAGAAGTATTCACAAACTATTCACAAACAAGCCTAAAATGGGCAATAGGAAATTTCTTAGGAAGTAAAGGTATCTGGCATAGTTTTATCCATACCATTTGTCTAATTAGATTGGTATTTACAAGTGTGTGTGCGTGAGAAAGAGAGAGAGAGAGAGAGAGAGAGAGAGAGAGAGAGAGAGAGACTAAGTATGCATGCTTTACTAATAACATAGTGTGTAAAGGGCTCTTGACTTTATTCTAAAACATCATTAATTAGACCAGTAATAGAACAATTCATACAAGGCTTTCTTTAATAGGAGAGAGATGTAGAGCAAGGGGTAGATAGACCAAGAAGAAGGTAGAAAGATAACATCAGAGAAACTCCGCAACAACACCTATAGTTGAGGTAGCCATAAAAGCAAGAACCATAATTTTTGCCCTTGATACCGAAGTGGTACAAGCACACACAAAAAAAATTTTTTTTTTTAAATAATGATTTTAACACAAATAACACTGTTATAAAATATCATGTATCATACTTGAAAGGATCCATACAGTGTTCAATGAAATCATTTGCAGCTCTCTGTAGAGGCCAGCTCTCATTCCACAGATGATCTTCATTCTTCAGCACCAAATGAAATTTTTTGATCATCTCTATCATAAATTCTTTGTCTACCTGCAGCAGTTAAAAATAGCAATTACTAAGAAAACTGATAATGCACTACATCTTGCATACAAAGATTAAGAAAAAAACCATTTGACTGGGTTAACTGTCAACTGCTTTAGAAAACACTGAGTGTCTATGGAGTTAGTCAGCACCTAATAAACACAAGTAAATGTATATATTACAATAGCCAAGGTATAGTGAGATCAAATGTGAGAATGGCAGAAACATTCTATTTACAAACTAAAGTCTGTGTATCCCCCCTACTTATCACATATATAGATCAAATCAGTAAAGCATCTTTGCAGGTAAAGCTACTGTGGAGGGCGGAAGAGCCACAGACTATGCTAATATTCTGAATGCTCTATGAGAAGTAAGACATTTATGAGAGCCAAGTGATGACTGTGAATCTGCAACAGTGACCAGACTGCAAGAACTACAAGTTAAAAGGGGTGTGGCCAGACTAGAGCACTATGTAGGATGCCAAAGAAGAATAAGAAACCGATACAGAACTGGTGCCGTGAACCGCTACATACTGCGGGATTTACTAAAGAGGGGATCCAAGCACTTATGAACTGAATGGTTCCATGTGCAATGAGGATAATCTGTCAACTAACTAATTAACTAGTAAAGCATCCTACTTTAATTAGGACAATAAGGGCCATGAACTCCTTTTTGCAGGTGACCAAGTCCTCTTAGCAACTACAGAGGAACAGCTGCAGATATACCTGGACAATCTCAACCTAGCAGCAAAGGCACTAAACATGACCAGTGCAAGAACAGAATGACCAATCAAGATGTGCATAGAAAAACAGCAACTCAAGCAAACAAAAGACTTCAAGTATCCAAGGAGAATAGTATCTATCATTCAATGAAAAATGGAAGCAGAAAAAGATCAGAGATGTAATCAAGCATATCAAATCACTTGACAGATGTCACCACTTTGCAGAACAAACATGTACCAACTGACACCAAAGGAAAACTATTCAATACAATATTTTTACCAACATTGTGTTACCAGTGCCAAATGTGGACATAAATAACAAAAGAAAAAACTGAAACAATAGAAAAGAAATGTCTAAGACGAGTTCTAAATGTAACTGGAAGAGACAGGATGAGAAATGACGATATTAGGAAAGAAGCTGGGACAGAACCAGTACTAAACAATATCAAGTGACAACAGATCACATGGTTTGGACATGTGTCAAGACTAACCCTAGATTGTGCACCACAGAGAGCCCTGTTACTTAGACAAAATAGAAGCTGCTCCAGAGGTTGGCCATGTAAGGCATGGATAGATGGAATATCTGAGGCCGTAAATACTGGCATCTTCACAGAAGATACTAAGGCCCGCACATGATTTCTTTTCCAAATATGACGATAAAATTCAGAATAGGACTAAAGAAGAAGAAAACATTCATGCTGCTGTTACTGTTTGTACTGTTCATGCTGATTTAACATCATCACTTAGAGTTGTTTACTCTTGTGTGACTTTAAGGATTGGGGGCTAAGGATAACCTATTTCCATCCTTGCAGGCAAACAACAAAACTATTTCAAATATTCTTGAGAGTTCTTCAAAATGTGAGTGCTGGATTTTGATAATAGTTGTCTATCATCACTGCAGGGAGTACCACAACTCTCTTCAGTCTCACGGCATGTAAAGTGTGTGTAGGTTTCATAACAATATTAGCCAGACTGTCCAGCATGCCTACTGGTACACAACAGCACCTCTTAATCCACGTGTTTGTATAGATATATAAGAGATGGCAGTCACCATATCATTCATTATCTACAAAGAAACATATTAGGAATAATGTCTGGTCTGATCAAGTGAGAATTTTATTATTAAACAAATGTTCATATATTTTTTTGTTTAGCCTGGAACATATGTAGATGAGCCACATGAATTACTCATGAGTTAAAACTGAGCCATAATAATTATGATGACTAATGTGGGACAAAGATGTGCATACTGAATCATTGGAATTATAATTCAACTTTTGCCAAAGGAACTATTTGTTAATACAGACACAGTTGCCTCACCAATAGCAGTCGCTGCATCATAGCATTTGCTTATCTAGTCCAATGCAAGTGTCACACCTAACCTCAAAAATGATTTAAGCATGAAGAATCCTCTTACAAATATTGTTTGTTTTGGTTTTATAACAGCAAATAAAACATGAAAATTTTTTAAGTTACTATGAAAATGGCATTGCTTCAAAGTATTATGATCACAAATGTATAGTTAAATATAAAACAGCATGGTCAAAATGGTATTTGTTATAAATAATAAAACACATGAGTACATGCACACATACATACGCATAGTAACATGTATACTCATAAACAGCTCTGTAGATACATTTCAATTTCAGCAAACTGATGGTTCTTAAGTACAAAATTAAACAGTAAACTTGCCTTTGGATTAAGCTCAGTTCTTTCAGCTATTGCTTCAGAAAGTTCCAACAATTCAGTGTTTTTACTTTCTAGCAACTTCAAACTTAGACAAGCCATTGGTCGACCATAGTCTTTCAGCATTCTAGATTTCCTGATTAGTGATAAGGTGAGAAAAGAAAAAAACAGACAAAAATGAAACTGTTTAGAAGTACATATACTTAACCTAATCATACTCAATCAGGGCTGTCAAACTTAAATATCCTTTAAATAATTTTACAGTACTATATATACATCAAGACGTTTGGAAAAAATTGGCAATCAACAAAACATGAACACTTGAGAAAACTGGCTCAGCAATATGCCTTTGGCAATATTAAATGCAGAATTGTTTCCTGCTACATGAAGATGAAGATGTGTACAAGATGGAGGATGTCAATATTATGCCAACCACTTTCACTCCCAACACATTTTTCTAGTTCCCATTAAATGATGATGGAATTACCTCAGAGTTACATAATCACAAATAAGAATAAATTGCAAGCTGGGTTAAAAACCCAGAACCACTGGATTAGCAAGCGTGCTTGTTATAACAATCACCATCAATGCCCACTGGGTATTTCTGTGTTTGCTCAATCCTCTGATGCAGTACCCATCCCAATGTTAGCTACTGATTTTTCTCATATAAAGTTGGTCATATTTCCTATCTTGACCTAAAAAAAATAGAAGCATTACTGTTCTTTACCTAGCTTTAGATGTAGGTCATGTAGTTGAGTAAGCATCTGAGACTCGTTGTTATTTACCAGTCTAGTGTTACAGCATTGATTATAATATCAGTTCTGTCCATGTTTCTTCACACATGTTTTTATGCCTTACTTGCCAGTTAGTCTGCTTGTTCATTACCTTTTATACTAGCATGTGTAGATCCAGGTGTGGAAGGTGAAGTGCAACTTCTGAATGCTATCTATCCATTCACGATGTAGACTACTGAAACATGTTCATAGAGTCTGATATGATCTCTATATATGTGACTGCGTATACTGCTGTCCATGCAAGGGCTCTGGAGGCAGAACTTAACTCTATGGTCATGCTTGATAAACTTGACTATGGTTTTTTACGGTTTTCCCAATCCTTTGTCCATATATGCCCGTGCTGACAACAACACACACTTTACTGACCCTTTTTTGTTAATGATATCTACAGGACGCAAACGCTGATCTGTCAGTGCTGTTATCTCATGTCTATGGTGCTGGGAATCTGACTTCTGCAGTATCTCCTTTGTGTGGTGACAACCTGAACAAGATTTTGCAGGTCTGCGGGTGTATACATGCATTCTTCTCCATGTATGATGTCATCAAGGTCACATATCTCCTGGGTTTAATCTTCCACCTTGGCCATCCAGGTATATCTCTTTTGGTGCCCTTCCTTTATGTCACTGATAGCACAGTGCATATACACGGTGTTGCCACCATGATTATCATGCTCACTTTCATACATGTATTTACGCATATATGCATGTAATGTTTGCATGGATTACTGCATACTTTTTTTAAACTGTTAGCAACACGAAATAGTTCAGAGACCACTATACGCAAGAAAAACCTTATTTTAAAAAAAGGGGGCATTATTTCACTGTCAGGTGATTAAAAACAACAATCAAATGTACATACTTCAAGCCATCAAAGAAATATTCCACAGCACTTTTGAAGATTTTCAGAAACTCTTGAAGTTTCTTCTGTTCTGCTTCATTGGTAACATCATACTCGTTTGGTGGTTGGAATGCTGTGATCAAGTCAGCCACTTGGTGAGCAATATCTGGATAGTCCTAAATAAGGCGTAACAAAGGCTCATCTGTAAAGTTTGCTATAGAAGTTACAATAAAAGTAACATCAAATGTATCTAAAAGAACATATAATAAAAAAAAAGCAAAACCAAATGGCGCAGGTGAAATGATCTCAGCTGCTTTTACTTCTTCCACTTCTTCCATTGTTCCTCTGGTTACCTCATTAAAGTGTTGATGACAGGATTTTCTCCATTCTCTTTCTAATGCTTTGCATAAGTTGATCTTCATTATTCTGAGGCAGTTCTCATCTATTACATGATCTTCCAATTGCTTTGTATTCATTGTATTTCTTCAGCATATCTCTCTGTGGATCATTTTGTTAGATGGCAAATTTAAAATCTTGAGAACCTATTAAAGGATGTGAAAGAGATGCATCCTATAAGTTGACTAAAAAGTTTACAGTCGTAAAGAAAACAACAGTACAGTATTTGATTGTTTTCTTCCTTTTCCTCATTCACACTTAGCTTTTCCCAATATTAACTAAAATCGAGGCTGTTATTAATTGATATTACTGACATTCCCATACAGCTTTTTTTTAAAAATTAAGTTAGGTACATGTTGTTGGCATCTCTCCATCTTTCCAGTCTATATTGTGCTATAACCAGGCATGGAAATTACAGCCCTTAGTGATGTCAAGTGTGACTGGCAAGACCAGCTCCTGTTAAGAAAGATTTTCCACAATTAGAGCTTGGGATTTCAGAACAACTGCTGTTATTGCATGCATTTAAGGTTCTTCTTTTCTGATATTCCGAACTCAAACTATCTCCTATCATTTTTTTTTAGTATTCAGTGTCCATGTTACCTTCCTGATTTTCTCCTTCCATCAAAATGATCCATGGAATCCTAATCCATGAATCTAACACAGTGCTTGTAAAAGTCATTTCACGCTTGCTCCCATCCTTGTATTGTAATAGAGGCCAACATTGACATCTTCAATCCATAATTTAGTTACATATATCTATGTGAATGAGACAATGCTGTAGTGAGCGCTTGGCCACAGCTTTATGCTAATTAAATTGGCACTCAAGGGAAAAATCGCCTTTTACCAAATAAAGAACACATTATTTTAAAACGATGATTTAAACTCTTTGCACTGTCAAAATAAGTCATATAAATATTCTGAAAAAATTCTAGGATGCATAGACAACTTATAAATATAATAAATACACAATATGTTATTAATCTGTGAAGTGCAAAATGGCTTAAATAAAGAAACTGTGACAGCTCCAGGCATTTTGAACTAAACTTTATGTAGCCCATGGAGGAAGTTTCAATTGTTACCTTCCATTTGTATCCTTTGTCATTAGAAACAATTAAGTAACATGCTCTCATGGTGTCTTCACAAGGTTTCTTGAACAGTGGCACCAGCATTTCTAACCACTGCCTTGCCACTTCTTTGTTACTGAAAGTAATCAGGAAAAGTAGCAATTTAAAAAAATGTGTTTACAAAAACATTTTTGAATGTTTAGACAGATTATTTTTTTGTTCAAGCAGTGACAATAAAAAATTTATGTCACAACATTCTATAGGAAATAAGTGGTTAGGGTGACATCTTCACAACAAGTCTTCTCATCTATCAAGGCATATTCTCTCTCTTTCAGTCCGAAGCCTAGTTTACTTTAACTCTCTTTATTGTAACAAGATGAGCTTAAAAGCTTTAATGCATATTTATACTGCATAGTTTATCATTCTATCTCTCTACATCTTTCTACGAGGGCCAGGCCAATGAGTACATGCTTATTTGTTTAGAATACTGACTAGTTAAAGAGATGACCAGTTCTGAAAACCTTTCAGCTGCCCACAAGTCATAATCATTACTTGCTTGCTGTGACAATCAGAAAGTTGCAGGAAAAGAGAGTCAGAGAGAGAGGAAAAGATCTGGTGTTGTGTAGTTAAACATCAATGCATGGAAGAACATTTTACTGAAGATAATGCACAGCATAAGATTCAGACTGCTATGGATGGACATCGTTACCACCACCACACATCAGCAAATATAAGAAGAAATATGTTACTTACTCTGCATACAGTTTTTTAAGTGCATTACTTAGGACTGTATCAGCATATCTTCCACTGTTGAGGTATCTCATGTCCATCTCATCAAGAAGATTAGTGTATCGTTTAGCCATTGCTGTAAACAGTTCTGCAGATTTCTGTGGGAGTATAACAATCAGTCAGGTTGTGGTGATGATACCTTTTCTTTCTTGCACATTATGTTAATTTCTTTTCTTTGAGATATAATGGAGAAGATCAAAACATTGCTAATTATGGCAAGTACAGAAAAAATTAGCTCTTGACCAGAGTATATTGGGTAGTGTACTATTAAAAATACTACTGCAAGTGCCACAGACAAGAAGCAGCTGAGATGTGAAAGATAAAATTATCTCAGAAATGCGGTTTCTGATTAAAATGTAAAGAATACCATGGACAAACAGAAAAAAAAGGAAACAGATTAAAAACTATAGGCTGCTTAGATAAAAAACTTAGATGTTGACAGTCTGTGAAAAAAAATAAAACAGTGAAAAAGAAAAAAATATTATGCAAAATGAGCAAGAGGAAAACAAAGAGATAAACACCTCAAAAGCAAAATGTTTATTAATCCCAGAGATCATTCTGCTTGGACATTCCTGTCACTTGCAAGGTATGAGAGCCAGACAATTCGATCATAACTTACTTCAGCACAAAAACAACTTGACCATTTGGAGCCTTCCACCAAAGGGAAGAATGAAACACGAAGGAATCTGACTCTTAAGTCTAATAATGTGTATGATTCCTAAATTAAAATCATCGCATTAACCACCACCGTCCCAAGATCTGTGTCATTAATATAAAAACTCCATGTGTGGGTTCCGGGACCCTATTTGGTGCGAAAAGAAAATAGACCAAAAACTCTCTAACAAGCATGTCTTAAAAGTCTAATTAGTCTAAAAGACTAATTAGGGGCATATCTTTCAAAGTCGGAATGAGGTTCTTTATTTTTTATTCACCCTAAACACACCGGGGTGTTATGGTTAGGGTTAGTTCTTGTTCATTACAAACCGTAACACCCATATACTATTGGACTTTCCGGGAAACTCTGGGATTTCGCGTGTTTGGGTCAAATAAAATATAAAGAACCAATGCCGGAATGCATCTGCCAAGGAACCAACATTCTGCATACACCAACGCCATATCTATAAAACGGGTGTGCACGCAAAGTGCACGTTCTGAAACAGGACCAAGGGGCTCTTTTCTATTATTTCACCACATCACGCCGGCTTCGAAATTTGGTAGGGACCGTCCCATAGTATAGGGCAGTGCTTCCCAAACTTTTCTTAGCCGCGTCGCCTTTTTAAAATTAAAATTTCTCCACGGCGCCCTAACCAAAGTAAAAGTATGACTATTCGTATGTAAGAGAGAAAAAAAAAACACTCGTGTATCTTCGAATATTTTGCGGAGCACATGTGAAGAGGTCGCGGCTCCCCAGGGCGCTGCGGCGCACAGTTTGGGAATTACTGGTATAGGGGGTTAGGGTTAGGGTTAGTGTTAAATGACCAGCGACTACTCCTAACTATAACCCCTTTATACTATAGGACGTCCCTACAAAATCTCAAAGCCGCCGTGATGTGGTGAAATTGTAGGTAGGTAGCTGTACCCCACCAGGACATCACACAAAAGACAAACACCCAGTGACACAAAGTGCCACCATGCGGACGAAGATCACGCATAGAGAGTTCCCGGAAACTCCTTTCAGCCGTCAGGCCATAGGCCCTATTTATGGCTGGGCCATATCTATGCCCCGGCTATATTCAGGGCCCCTGGCAGAGCCAGGTTGGGGCTTCGAACAAAAAATTGCATCCCGCAAGGGGACACTTTTGAATGTTGTGAAATAAAAGAATAGAGCCGACCAAAGTCCAGATATTGACAAACAAATCGGGATTTTCGGCTGAAATTTACAGCCAGTAAACTCTAAAAAGAAGAAAAAAAAAAGCATAAAAGAAATTTCACTAAATGTTGCACATCCTATTTACACAGGACTGCAGGTTACAACAGTCTGCTGTGATCGTCCATTACTGATGCCCTAATTATAACATTCTTGGAGGTTGAACGGGGTATCGTGGTTTGTCCTGTTGGTCAATCACCAGCTCTGAGACTTGTTTTATTCTTACGGAGACGTTCAGGTCCTGTTGGTTTGCCATCCAGACTGAAATATTCTGATCGTAGGCGTCAAACTTTTCAGGCAGCAGCACAGAGGGGATAAGCGGCACACATAAATGTAGCACTAAATAGAACATTTCGAGATCTGCGGCCTGGCAGTTGTTAATCTTCACTGACACTTGTCACTTGCTCAAGACTAGATTGACCCTGTAATCTCGTGTGTGTATATATATATATATATATATATATATATATATATATATATATATATATATATATATATATATATACATATATATATATAAACATGCATACGCACACACACACACATCTATATATTCTCGGGGCCTTTCCGTATTTTCAGGCGACAGTGTTATATTGTGTATAGGAAGTAGGAAGTCACAACCCAATGCGATGGTAAATGTGATGATCTTGCACACGTTTATTTCATAGTTTGAGGCCGACCTCGGCATTGCCTAGCCATCTGTAATTCTTCTGTGTGAGTGTGCTCGTGTGTGTGTGTGTGTGTGTGTGTGTGCGTGCGAGTAACAGAGTGTGTGTGTGAGTGTGTGTATGTGTGCTTGTGTGTGTGTCTGGGGTGCAGGAACAGGTGTGCTCAAGCCACATGAGCGACCCCCCTCCCCCCCCCCCCCCCCCCACCCGAGACTGACCAACCAACCACACTTTAACCATGGAATGAAATTCTCTTGAAATCTCTTCCTAGCCACAACTCATTTACCCATTAGGCGCTGCCCTTACAGACCTATTTTACCAGCCCTTATCAGGGAGCGAGGTCAACAGTAACTCTGCGACCCCTTCCCCATAACATTGTGAGAATACAGACCACAGACTGCAGATAAGCTTAAAGTGTTAGAACACTACTAGCTATTTTACATTGCTAAGAAGAACTGTACACATGCGAAACAGAAGTATTACACATTCGTTTAATACTCACAGACAAGATTTTATCGGGGATTCTTATAAAGAAATACATCACTTCCTCAAATAACTTGATGTCGAACCCGTTTTCATGAAATGGACACTTTGTGATGCACAGAAGCAAGTCAAACACCTCATTGTAGACTTCCTTAACCAGGCCACGCTTGCTACATCAGTAAATAACAAGCAGGTATTGTCATTACAGAAGATAAATGTAAAAAATGTACATAAAAACAATTGCAGAATATCATATTCAAATGACAGACAGAAATAGCTCTCTATCGCATATTATATTCTTCTCCATTATCACCATCGAGTGCCTTACCCCTTAGCGTGGGCGATCATACCTCTATCTGCGATCTGCAACAGTATGTTTCAGTTCGTGTGCTGACACCCTTTCCATGACAAAATGCTGTTAGGAAACGAGTCGCATTGTCTTTCTCTTTCTCTTTGTCCACAGATCTTTTCAGTAGTAACATGGTCACATTTTTTTCTCCTAATAACATCACCGGAAGAAAAAAAAATTATGACTGTCCCTGCCTGATGTGTGTGATGGGTTGTCTTTAAGCCCTCGCCTCTTTCAAAACATGGGTTGTCTTTAAGCCCTCGCCTCTTTCAAAACATGGGTTGTCTTTAAGCCCTCGCCTCTTTCAAAACATGGGTTGTCTTTAAGCCCTCGCCTCTTTCAAAACATGTTTTGTCTTTAAGCCCTCGCCTTTTTCAAAACATGGGTTGTCTTTAAGCCCTCGCCTCTTTCAAAACATGGGTTGTCTTTAAGCCCTCGCCTTTTTCAAAACATGGGTTGTCTTTAAGCCCTCGCCTCTTTCAAAACATGGGTTGTCTTTAAGCCCTCGCCTTTTTCAAAACATGGGTTGTCTTTAAGCCCTCGCCTCTTTCAAAACATGGGTTATTGACAGTCCAATTAATTCGAAGGCTTCTTCTGTTTAAAAAAAAAAAATCTCCGAAACCTCAAGAAATTGTTTGGCTTGTTTATTAAATGTCCATTATTCAACGCTACAAGCTAAAACCTGGCTCTGTATAGGATGTGAGAATTCTTTGTCTAACCTCCAGTGACATGGGTTTACTGCATAAAATGTCCTTCGAAATTATAAAATGCAGTTTAGCTGTCATATTCTGTCCTTTATCTCTGCGATATATCTTCCATATAATGTTATTTATGTGCCTAGATACTTAAATGTATATATTTATCCTTAAATAACGCTCTTGACTTTTATTATACACTAGCTGTACCCGGCCACGCGTTGCTGTGGCATAGTTTGGCTAAACTGAAAAGAAAGAAAATTGAAATCTTGCTTCGGTCACGCCAGTGATGTAGGATGTCTTCACTCCTGTAGATTTGTCATCATCATCATCATAAACCACTTCTGCCGTTAAGCGTCATGGGGAGGAATAATTTGCGATCTAGTGCACGTTGGCTGCCACTGGCTATTGTTATGTCGTGAAGGCGTAGAGTGTCTTTAATGTTGTCGATCCATATTTACCGGGGCCGTCCTCTTGCTCTTGTAGTTGATCTTCTGAGATGTAGTGCTTGTGATGGTATTTGATCTTGCTGCATTCTAACGAGATGGTCAAACCACTTGATCTGCTGTTTCTCGATGAATCTAGTACAAGGTGTCGTTCCTACAATGTGCCTGATAGTTTCATTATTCACTCGATCTCGTATGGTTAGGTTGGCTGCTTTTCTCAGACACTTCATCTCGCAGGTGGTAATTTTGCGTATATGGGCTTTAGATAGTGTCCATGTTTGGCACTGGTAGCTTAATGTTGGAATAAATATGCTATTAATAATCTGTCTCTTTGCACCCATAGTTATGCTTGGATGTCTTAATAATGGTGACAATTGGCATATAAGTGCACTTGCTTTCTGACATCTGATTTCTATTTCTCTGTCAATTCTACCATCTTCTGTGATCATACTTCCTAGATATTTAAACTCCCTAACTTGATTCAGGGCAGAACCATTCAGCTGAATGTGGGGCAGAATGTCTACTAACTTGCATTGTTTCGGTTTTGTTTACATTGATCTTCATGTTGTATTTTCTACATGCTGAGTTTAACCTGTTAATGTAGTCTTGCAGTCTATGTTCTTCAGGGTAGAACAAGCACTGGTCGTCAGCAAACAGTAGTTCATTTAATGTGGGTGAATCGATTACTTCTCCTGATGTATGTACTTCCTCGTTATTATAAAGGTCTATGTTGTCTGTATCATTACTTGCTTCTTTAGATATTATGTCTGTAGATTTGTATCTTTCCTAAAACAGGACAGCCCTACGGTGCAATCGCCCAACCACAACAACTACTACTGCTACTACTTTGAGTGGGTAAGGCAGTTACTGTGACTTGAATCTATCTTAGTAAACAGTTTATGTTACTCCCCATCCTCCTTCCCCAATTCACCGCGTGTTGCTACGCCTCCAATAGAAATTCAATTGAAAGGAAAGTCGACATAACAATATGTAGTATTTATATTGGATCATTGTGTTGTTTACATATCCTTAGGAAAACAACAGGCAATTTAAAATGTCATTGTAATTGTTTACTAAAGGGCTTTCGGGCATACAATGTTCTTAGTCTGTCCGTCTGGTGCGTACATTACAAGGGGTGCTGCATGGTCTTGAGGTGCTAGAGGTTCCGGGTTCAATCCCCGGTAAGTGCTGAGATTTTTTTCTTTCACTAGTAATTTCCCCTGGTCTCTGGGTAGTGAGATCGGACGCCCCTGTGATTTGTTGCGCACGTAAAAAATCCCTTGACAGTTGACCCGGGCAAAATTTTGAATACCAAAAGTATTGCAGGATCCTCACCGGTGCTACAGAGTCTGAGCACTGTGCTCTACAATGAGTTAGAAGAAGAACGAAGCACTTATGGGTTACTACTCATTATTTCCATTATTCAAGCTGAATATTCTCTACTATAGAGAACTGATTCCGGCAATTCTGACTGGTTCCCGGTGGAAACAGGAGTAAAGCAAGGCTGTGTCCTATCGCCGATGCTTTTTGGTATAGCAATCGACTGGGTCATGCGCAAGTGCATAAATAACGCAAATTTAGGCATTACATGGGTTGACAAAATTCTGGAAGACCTAGACTTCGCCGACGACATAGCACTCCTGAGTTCAGAACACACAGACGCCCAAGAAAAAATCAATCGACTCCAGAATTTCTCAGAACAAATTGGACTCCAAATTAACACCGCAAAAACAAAAATTCTAGACCTTACCAACAGTTCAGTTGATATCACGCTGAACAACAACATCCTTGAAAAAGTCAACAGTTTCACTTATCTAGGGAGCAAGATGTCATCTACAGGAGATACCGCACCAGAAATATCATTTAGAATAGCACTGGCATCTAGTGCCTTCAATAAACTGTCTAACATCTGGAAATCAAAGACACTTAGCAAACACACAAAACTCAAGATCTTCAATTCTTGTGTGATTCCAGTACTAACCTATGGATGCGAGAGCTGGAAATCAACGAAAACTCTAGAAACAAAATTAGACAGTTTTGAAAATAAATGCCTTAGAAGAATACTAAATTTCAAATAGTCAGATTTCCGAACCAATACACAAATAAGGCAAGAATCCAGGCAAGAGTATGTGTCTAATTTTATACGAAAACGCCGCTGGAACTATGTCGGCCACGCCCTTAGAATGGATAAATCAAGACTTCCTTACCAAGCCCTCATTTGGACACCACAGGGGAAAAGATCTCGTGGAAGACCAAGGGTAACCCTACGTAGAACTATCATCAGGGAAGGCTCGCTCATGGGGCACTCAAACATCCAAGACCTACAACGGATTGCAACGGACCGCCGTGCATGGAGAGTCGCGACCTCTGTCCTATGTGCCGCACTCGACACAAGAGGAAAGACTAACTAACTAATAGAGAAGTTGGTTACAATGCCCAATAGCCTGAAGGCGTGGAAAAGCGTCCTTTATTGAGAAATATTGATTATTTTATTCAAACTTTGAATAACAAAGAAAACAAATCATTTTTCTTCACATTCAGCTCACAGAAAGAAATGTACTACTGTATTGTACTAAAATTTTTAAATACATTATTATTATAATATTTTATAATAAAACGATCACCGTTTATCTTTAGTAAACAAATAATAATAATAATAATAATAATAATATCCTCATGAAATGTGAACTACCGGTATTTCAAATACAAAGAAAAATAATCTACTGAAATGGAAATTACAATAAAACACACTTCTAATACATTTCTTAAATAATTATCGATCTTCAAGAAGAGTAGGCCTTAAAAACTGTAATAAGTGATTGTAAGCACACAGTAAAAGTAAACACATTAAATTTCTAAACCAAGTTGTAATAATGACATAAGGATACGCCCTCATCAAAGAATTAAAATTGGTGTTCATCGAGTATTATAAAGGTGATACTAAAATCCTTTTTTTTTTTAAAAACAATAATAGGAATAATCACAACGAAAGAAGAGCTCATAAGGTGAACACAGTAAATAATTTTGAATCGTCGCAGCTTGGAAGATTATGAAAGAAAGTATACAAGGAATCATGCGAGAAGAATTAAATCTAAACTGGCCACTTAGGGCATGTATATAATATTTTAGTGTCACCTTCTTTGTCTTCCTTGGGTACCTGTGTAGTTCAAGGTTATATAAAGTTAAGTGAATGCATTTCACAGTTCTCGACGAACAAAGATTCGATTTTCGTGATATCATTAACACAACGACAACAAAACTCAGCTTTGGAAAAGAATTTCTGGGAATGCTAATCCAGATAACAAATGCCCAAAGAATTCAGATATGTCAGACAAAAGACGCAAATATCGCAGCTATGCTGTAAAATGGTACAGCGCATTTGACTATTAAAAATTATTAGGTCCATGGCAGACATTTGAAAATAAGAAGTGTCTGCGTGTCTCTCTGCTAATTGGGAACAATTGCGTTATCATATCTCCAAGCTTTAGTTATTGCCTTACCTCAGTTTTGTGACAAAGCTCTCGATAAAATCCTTTACCACATCGGCTGTTTTTTCACTGGATGCAAAACTAGGCTGCGTAATCACTTCCCCAGAGTGTTTTAAATAAGACTTCAATCTGTTGATGTCCTTGATGTTCTGAAATATTTCCATACAAATGTGCTTTAAACTTTATTGTTCCTTGTTAATTTAAAGATTTATTGCTAATTTGAAGATCATTTTCATCGCACATCGGACATGACAGTAAGTGCCCCGATCTCCTCTTGTGTATGTCTTCTAGTGTTTTAAGGCTAATAACTCCCATTTTGTTCTGCCTGGTGTAACGACGGGTGGCTCCAGTGTGGTTCTCATTTCTTGCTGCTCGAGTTGGTACACGTTTGGTATGCAGTCTATTAATAATATTACCGAACCATGTACAAAATGCCTTTACTTTATTCAAACTTATTGCTGCATTATACGCAATTATTATTTTTTATAGTAGACGAGCATGTCCTCGTTAATAATTTGTTTATGTTTATTTTGGTAATAAAGAACTTTCACAGTTTAATTTGTATTATTTTGTCTTTTGTTAATTGTGTATGGAATATCACAATGTGTGGGGCAGTGTTAAACTGGTGCATGTTAAGGTTGTGAATTCTTTTTCGCCCACGAGAGTCATTGCTCGAGCTACAGGCGCTCGTGCTTTGTACAACGCTTCCATGGACAACCAGTCACTCTGCTGAATGAGACTGAGTCATCTAGAATAAAACGATCTAATAAAAATAGAGCAGCTGCCTTTCTTAACTACGAATATAAATGTCTGCATTTAAACTATAGCTTTTTGTCAAAGTCATGTTCCACCCCTCATCACCATCGATATGCTTGTGTACATACTCATACAGGGCTCGCAGTTTATTTTTCTAATCTTACTATAGTCTATTCATCCCCTTGCGGGGTGCAATTTTCCGTTATTTAGAGCCCTACTATGGCTCTTGTCAGAGGCCGCAGTATAGCCCGGCTATAAATGTGGTCTAAAGACTGAACGCGATTTCTGGGACCTCTCCACAGGTGATCATCATCCACATGGTGGCACTTTGTGTCATCGGGTGTTTATCGCTTGTGTGATGTCCTGGTGGGGTAAAAGTACTACTACTACTATTATATTCCGTTCAACCACTGCAATAGTTTCAATATCATGGATAGAATCCAATGCAGAACACCGCCTCTCCCATCAACGTTGGCCTGGGCCTCCCTAGGACTCCTTCGCCCCATCAGTTTACCGGCTTCCATTTTAAGTACTTGTTCTCCGAGTGTTTTTAACATCTGCATGATTTTAATTAATTATACAGTAATTATTTGACATATCTATATTAACAGCCTTGGTAGCATAGTTTGCCAAATTATCAATATATTTATCTCGGTTTTCTCAAGTAGTCACAGGCCTTGAGAAGCGGTTGGCCGAACGGTTAGAACGCTGGACTTTCATGCGGTAGACCCGGGTTTAAATCCTCGGTAAGGCTGGTGTTTATTTTCTGTCCGGGGGGGGGGGGGGATAAAATCCTCACCTGCACAGTCGTGGCGAAAGCATTAGCCGTGCGGCCTAAATTCCTCAGGCCAACCCCCCCCCCCCCTTTTCCCCTCGCCCCACACCGCAAAAGTGGCAAATAAAGGCAGTAATTGACACTTTTCTTGGCAGTCCCAGGCCTATATTCTAATCATATATATAACCAAAACCACCTCGACTTATGATTCCATGAAACCACAACTCCAGGGTTACCCAAAAACGGATACAGGGTCGACCATACCAGGGATCTAGAAATGATTTAAACACAGCTCTAAAACTGACCAAAACTCGAGAGTTGACCCCATCATGGCTCTGGTGTCAGCAAAAGAATGTTTCTAGTTTAGTCCGGCCAAAGGTCTAGAACTGACCCAGCAACGTATGTTGAGTTGCTTTAATCACTGTTACAGAGTTTACCAATATATTTCTCTAGATTTGAGCACAACCACAGCTCTGGAGTTAATTTAGCCGTAGCTTCAGTCCACAAGACCATGGCTTCTGAGTTCATCCAACTATACCTCTAAAATGGAATTATCTATGCTGGAAATGTGGCATTGCATGGGACTAATCGCACCTTTGATTATGTTTTAACCCACTATATATAAAAACATTTCAATGAAACAGAAACTGATTTTTCTACATTCTTCTTCCCTTTTTTCTTGTTCTTTTTTATCCTCTTGCTCTACGTCGCTCCCTTGCTGTCCTTTCAATACCCTCCTTTTGTGTGGGTGTGAGTGCATATTTTATTGGGTCTCTCTTGTTATTCAATAATATGCTTTTTCTCCCAGCGTGTAGTACTCGTAAATGCAGTACTAACTCTTGAATCACTGTTATGTGATTAGTTCGCGCTATTAGTCCTATTTCTGCGATTATGTCATATAATTGTGTCCTGTTCTGTGTAGGCACCAGGTAATTAATGTTTGTACTGTATTTTGTTAATAATAAAATCTTCTTCTTCTTCTCCGTCTTCTTCTTTTTCTTCTTCTTCTTCTTCTTCTTCTTCTTCTTCTTCTTCTTCTTCTTCTTCTTCTTCTTCTTCTTCTTCTTCTTCTTCTTCTTCTTCTTCTTCTTCTTCTTCTTCTTCTTCTTCTTCTGCTTCTTCTTCTTCTTCATCTACTTCATCCTCGCCTTCTTCTTCTTCTACTTGTTCTTATTCTTCTTCTACTACTACTACTGCTGCTGCTACTACTACTTCTTTTGTGTAAGAAACATTAAAAGAGCGGTTGTGACGTTTGTTATTATTTACAAATCGGCTGTTATATCGCATCTACAGGCCAAAACATTTGATTTCAGTAAATCCCTAATTAGTCGCCTTTTACTACATCTCATTTAAAAGGGAGTTTGGCAGCAGTGGGCCTCCCCCTCCCCCTCTTCCCACAAAATGAGGCTTTGGGATCACACGGAGATATCAGTGCTGAATAATATCATATGTAATTAAATCAGTGTCGAAGTAGCCGAAGTAACCAACTTACAGTGAAGGGATCGTCCAGTGAGTTCAATACATTTTTTCCAGTAGTTGCTAGCATCTTATACGAGTCTTCCTCAAGGTGGATGCAGTCCAGGTATAAGTAGACAGACAGATCCAACAGTTCATTTGTAAACATCTTTGACTGTTCCTTCCTAAATAAAAGTATTACTATTTATTTTAACAGGTGGTAGAAACTATTTTTTACGTACTGCATTCAAGTCTTGAGGTCATGCATTTTCCCTGTGGCAACTTAAAGTTGTGAGTCCTGGACTCTCACTCAAACACTGAAGAAAAAAGACTGAAGCATTTGAATTACATTTTCACAAGAAAATTATCAAAATAACATGGATCAAGAAGAGGAAAAACATCGACATTCTACGCGAGTTAAACATCAAGGAGAACTGACTCATAAACAGCGTCCTGTCCCGAAAGTTATAGTATTTTTGCCACATCAACGTCACGGTGGCTTGGGAAAGGCAGTGATGAAAGTTTTCACCTCTAGATATTGGTTTTGTACCAGAGCTTAGGTTTTGCGTGCACATCTGTGTTTTAGATCTAGCTTATTTGTCTGCAGGCTGCTGGTTCCTCGGCTTGCAGGCAGATGCACTACCACTTTGAAAGAAACATCATCAACTGGTGGCATTTCACGACATGCGTTATAGCGGGTATTGGGCCTATCTCTCCGCCACCCCTTTTTTTTTTTTTTTTTTTGCCCCCCCCCCCCCCCCCCCCCAACCCTTCCATAGCTTTTACCTAGATTTGTGTCATTCTGTTTAAGTCTTTCGTCCCTAAAATTTAGGTGATTTCCCCACGGGAATCCTCAGCCTACCAGCCCTATACAGACGTGCTAATGTTTAGCTGGATCTTGCAGGTTACATTTTCTAGCGGATAAGATAGCTAATCTCACGTTATCCCTTTAAGGCCGCCTTTCAACACGTGTATGGTAAACTGAAATTTTCCCTTCTCCCCCCCCCCCCTTTTTTTTTCCTTCCCTAGTGTGCCTAAATATCACATGACAGACAGCGAAGATTCAATGAAGAACAACTTATCCCATTTTAGGAGCTAACATTTTTAAACATGGCTAATTCAGTATTATCAAAGTCTTACTTTAGTGTATCTCGGAATAGCTGGATCATAACTCTCTCATACATGTCACAGAAAGCCTTTGTGTCAACTCCTGCTTCCTTTCTCTCGCGTTGGCAGACAGCCATTATCAGTGGTCTCAGTGATGTATCATTAAGTCCCTGCAGAAACAAATGTTTGCGTGGTTTTGTTTTAATTTTTAACAAATATGCTACAGGAACAATTACACATGAACTATAGGCGCCGGTACAACGAGAACATTAGGGTTGGGAAAAAAGGGGTGGGGGAATAGCATATTTTCTAGGCAAAGACGGAGGTTCTAAAATGATCTATTCCTAGTTTAAGAGCAGTTTAATATATTATGGGCTTGATGAAATCCTATTGCCGAAAGGTGCAGATATCGAAGCCTAATTATAAACCACATTACAACGTGTCAGCCGCCCATTTAAGTGCGAGCAAAGAAGACGGACTAAAAGAGACTCACAAATAAATTGCACAATTTAGGTGCACACAAGTACTACAAAAACAAAGGTTACACCGTAGCTCCAGTGGCAACCTTCCCGAGTCTCCCAAACACGTGCACTCACCCAGTTATAAAGTCCCAATCCAAACACAGGAAGTACAGAGCACAAGACAATTGGCGCAATCACTTTGGCACCAAGAACCGACACCATATCTTTGTTTTAGCTTTGAGATACAATGTGTCTTTTAAAAGGCATGTGTTTTAGGTTTGCTTCTCTTGTAATGCATGTGTGTGTGGCAAGTAATGTAATTGCCTCTATGTATTTTTGTCCTCTGTGTGTATGTGTCTGTGCGCACTTTGATGTGTGTGATCGTGCATGTGTGCGTGCGTCTATGTGTGCATGGGCACTTGCATGGCTGTGTGTATCCGTATGTGTTCTTTAGTTCTGTGAAACACACTCAAAGAGTCCCACTTTCCACAATCAATTCTTCTCTCTTCTGTTTTCTTTGCATTCAGTTTCGAATGCTCAGATCAGACCATCAGGTGGGTTGCTTCTATGAACTCGCATGTCGGTAGCAGATCCTTCATGGTTCCCCATAGCTTGCTCTGCACACTTTGCTCTTGAGGCCAGGTGTCTTTTCGAAGTTGAATGAATGAATAAAAACTATACTAATACATTCCTCATCTGGTGAATATAAGACAGACAGACAGACAAACACACACAATAACAGTATATGACGCACTTAGATCGATTTGATTACATGCATCTTCTTCTTTTCCCTTCGGGTGTCGAGAAATGTGCAAGGTTCTCGTTCTTGCTCTTCTGGCCGCCTCGGCTATAGACACATCGTACTGTTGCAGTTTCTCGGATGTTATCTGACCATCGTGTTCTAGATCTACCCTTCGATCTACCTTTTTTTTTTGTGTGTGTGTGTACTCCTTGCCTGGTGTGGCGCCACAAAACATTTGCTCTAAGTTGGCAAAGAATTTTGTTCGCTCTCTTTGTATATAAGTAAGCATTAATTCTGTGTCAACTATTTGTCCTATGACTTCATCCCTAGTTGTATTCCTCTGGACACTCCTGTAACCGTTCCCATGCATCTCACTTCCCTGTGTGCTGATTTTCTTTTCTGAAAAAAAAATGCACCTAAAAAAAAAATTTGTTTTTAAACTAAAGAATAGTTCTTAAGGGAAATTATCACTTTCTAAATGAGACCACGTATGATTTTACCTGAATATATTCTTTCAGCTCAAAGCTTCTATCCCGTATGCTAAAATATGCAATCTGCAAGTGGAGCATACTGAGGTCGTTCTCCAGTAAGTGGACAATGAATGAGAAAATTGCTTTTTGAGCATCCGGTTGTCCAGTAGTGTCATAGTTCAGCTTTTCCCTGTTTACAGAAGACGGCATGTCTTTAAGGGCCTAAAATTATATTTTGAAGTCATGACAACATTGGAGTCATCATACATTGTTGTAATAGTAAAATATAACGTTATATAGTTATTATTTGATTTATTTAAAGCACTAATCAGATTGGTTTGGGAAGGGGGAGGGGAAAAAAAGGGGGGGGGGGGGTATTTGTCAACATTTTCATTCTTCCTCTGCTGCTGGCTTTTCTGCCCTCCCCCTTTCTTCTTCTTCTTCTTCTTCTTCTTCTTCTTCTTCTTCTTCTTCTTCTTCTTCTTCTTCTTCTTCTTCGTGGAATATGAGACGTATACAATAGATCGTTCACGAACTCCATTTATATGGTCATATATACAAATAACAAGAGAAAGGAAACATGTTTATCTTCTTCCTCCTCCCCCTCCTCTTCTTTCCAAGTACAACTGGACAGTAACCATGCTTACCGAGGTTGATCGCCACGCTTCTGCCTTTTATGTATTTTTTCTTCACCCTTCTCCTCTCCTTTCCTTTCCCCCCTCCTCTTCCTCCTTCTTTGTGTTGTGCAGGACGCATAGGAAAGATTGTTCGCGAACTCCATTCATACTCTCATACATATCAATAGGAAAAGAAAATACAAAAACTTGCTTATCTTCTTCTACTCCTCATCTTTTTTCTTTGTTCCCCCCCCCCCCACCTCGCCCCGCCCCCCCCCCCCCCAATACAATTAGACAGTAACCATGTATGATGCTTTAACTGTCTTGCATAATAAACAGCTTACACCTTTTATAAGCAAACCCCTTTACCTGTAATGCGTTTCTTGCAATTAACACAAGATATATATTCAGCAGACATCAAAAGAGACAATCCCACCAACCCATAGAGTTGCAAAAAATAAATGGATGCCAACGGATATTCTACAGTTGATGGATGAAAGAAGGAAGAAAAAGAATGATAAATAGAAATACTCAAGAATACAAAAAGAAATAGTGAACAAATGCAAAGTGGCTAAAGAAGCCTGGCTGAATCAAATGTGTACAGAGATTGGGGAAAATCACAGGAGACTCACATTCCATGTACCAACTGATAAATATGTTAACATGAAAGATGACACGTAACAGCACTGGATGTTTAAAATCAAAAGATGATGACTTATTAATGGGACATGGTAATATAATTAGCAGATGGGCAGAGTATTTAGGGATATTGTATGATGATAATAGACCAGATGTAGAAATGAGACCAACAATGATGGTCCACCAATAATGACTGCAGAAGTTGAGGGTGCAATGCATCATATGAAGAAAGGAAAAGCACCCGGGCCAGACAATATCTCACTGGAAGAAATCGAAGCACTGGGAGATTTTGGAATTGAAATAATAACTAAACTTTTAAATGATATTTATAAGAGTGGGTATATTCCAAATAACCTTTTAAAATCCATATTTATAGCTCTGCAAAAAAAAACCAGGCACTTTAAAATGTGAAGACCATCGCACAATAAGTCCTATGAGTCAAATGACTAAGATTTTACTGAGAATAATTATGAGAAAAATAAGAAACAAAATTAAACCAAAAATCAGCGATGAACAATGTGGATTTGTAGAAGGAAAAGGTAAGAACAATGCCATTTACATCCTAAGGACATTGTCAAAAAGAGCTATAGAAGTAAATACTGGTTTGTACTTATGCTTCATAGACTATACAAAAGCATTTAAATGTGTGAAGCATGAAGAAGTAATCAAACTGTTAGAAAAATTAAACATTAATGGAAAAGATCTACGAAAAATAAAGAATATGTATTGGCAGCAAACAGCAGCTATAAGAATTAACAACATTTCAAAGCATAAAGAGGGGCGTACGACAAGGATTAAAAAATATGACATGGCAGCAAACTTATCACAGACATCAGAAGGAGACAGTCATAATTGTTCGGCCATGTTATGAGAGGAGGGAAAATAGAACATGTTGTGACCACTGGAAAGATCTGTTAAAGGAGGGATAGAGGAAGACAACGAGAGAAGATTCTTGACAGTCTTGTTGCATGGCATGGAGGTGTGTCAGCACACGAACTGATACATGCTGCAGAAGATCATGGACTATGGAGAGGCATGATCGCCCACGCAAGTCGGCAAGGCACCTGACGGTGATGATAAATGAAAGGTAGTGGCTTCTATTTTTGATTGAATGTAGTATAAAGCCTTTATGTGTGTTCACGTTCAGTGAAAATTATGATGCTTGTACACAGTGGTAAATCAAATTTGTCCATGAAATCCGGTCGCATTTATCCTCCATGTCTTGTACATCATCTGTAACATATGTATACGCACAGTACGACTATGCCCTGTACATATGTGTAAGATAGATCCACGTGTTGCCTTCTTGTTTTCTTTCTTCTAAAATGTACTGGTAGTAGTGACCAAAGATAGTTTAATCTTGTTCTGCGTCGCATGTCAAGATTCCAGGTAAACAATTACATGAGTGTGTGTGGGGTTGGGGGAGGGGTCTCTACTCTATTGGAGGGACTGTGAGGAGGTTGGATATGCCTTCTTTCTGCCTGATCCACTGCTAATCTTTTATGATACAGATGTTTCTTCATGCAGGTGGTAAGAGTGACATGGATATTTTGTTCGGGTGTGTAGTCGTGTTTGGGAATGAGCAGGCAGAAAGGTTGGCTGGACTGGCCCCACTTAGAGGTGTACTGCAACTGCACAAGGCAGAGATGATCTCTGGCCTGTGGGGCGAGGTAACAAGTAGTACTGACAAATATTGAAAACCCTTACCAGAAAAGCAGTGGCGAGGCTTGATAAATCTGCACCTGTTAGCAGATAACAATTACACTGGAGAGGGTATCACGTGATATACACTGGAGAGGGTATCACGTGATATTTTCTCCTCGCCGCTTCACTGTTGAAAATACGCGTTCGCAGCTAGCATTGAAACACTAGCAACTGGTAGCTTTCACGGGATAGTTTCTGAATTAGTGGCGTAAGCATGCAGAAAGTATTCTTTTCGCTAAGTTCTAGGCGTAGCGGCGTGTTTGTAATAAATAGTAAACAGTCATAATAAATGGTAAAATATTTGCTCTTTTGCAATTGAAAGTTGTAAGGGGCTATTACAACCGTTACATGCAGGCCTCACAATTGCTGAAGAGAACGATACAGCAGGGGGGAATGTCTGCGGGTTCTGGGCCCTACATGAGTCTGGGGACTAAAGGCAAGACGAGTGGTAAACCAGATTATTTCGGGTATCATTAGTATAAAGGCTTTACGCTGGCTGTTGTTGAGGATAACGATAACCTAAAATGTGCGTGTCCTGAATGCTACGATGTCAAATCTTTACCTAGATAAACCCTTCACATGGTCAAGGTAATCTGACATTCTTTCTTGGTTCTCCCTGATTCTCTTTTCCTAAAAGTGTTATGTAATCTCTAGCCACCCACCCCTCCTTTTTTTTCTTATAGTACTACCTAAGGGTGTGGAATAAGTTCTTCTCATGCGTATAATTAGTTTTCTTTCTTTGCTTTTTTTTTTGGGGGGGGGGGGGGGAATATATCCTTCGAGAGATCGAGCTGTATATATATATATACATATGTGTGTGTGTGTTTGATAAAAGTAGCTGCAAAGAATTTTGTCTCGCCTTTAAAACACCCTTTCTTCACTGGGCTTTGTATCTGACCAAGGTGTTTTCGTCACTCTTCTGTGAAGCTAAATCTCTGCAGCTTCAAAAAATATATATATCAAAAGCCTGTTTACTGTTGTTAGTTCACATCCGTGTTTTAGAACTGGCACTATATTTTCTTGATGGACCATAATAACAAGAACTTTTTTCTCATAATAACAAGAACTTAACAAGCAGACTTACTTGCAAAAGTTGCAAAGTTGTTTATATGTTTCCAGTACCTGATTCCACCCTGCTGTCGCGTGTATGGGTTGGTCATCCGTTGTCAGCTTCTCTTGTAAAACAGACAGAGCTTTCAAAGCAGCCTCGTAGTTTTTGTCCTGGGAGTTGGATGAACATTGTCTGAGTGCTCGCATAAACTCTTCGTGCTTATCTGCGCTATCGTGAACAAAACTTGTATCTGCAATCAATGTCTCCATGATGCTGAAATGTATTGATACAAAGTATGTACAATGGCTGGGGACTAAGCGATGATTGTTGCGAATATGCTAACCGATTTGTGAGATTCTGTAACTTAAATGCAGATACCCCCTGGACAATAGGTTTTATAGCAGGACACGTCACAACTGTTCGTGAGCACTTCTGATTTTATGTTCAAATGTAAATATTCCGCTTTGTAATGTTAAATATATAATGCGGATTTATTATACACGAGTCAAAAATATATGAGTATGTTGGCTTAACAGTTTCACCATTAAGATCAGCACATATGATGATCAAGTGATGCAAAGAACGAAAAGGATACATGAAATAGAACGATTAATCGAAGATGGTTCTGTTACATTACTATTTATAACATATGTTATTTTATACACACATACACACAGAGATATATATATATATATATATATATATATATATATATATATATATATATATATATATATATATATATATATATATATACTATATATATACACATACATACATACATGCAAGGTTTATCTACACCACTGTCTGATTAAGAATTCTCAAAGCAATGCAAGCACGGCATATAGGATCTACTATCTAAATAACTTCGTGTACACATATACACAAGTGGTTTTTTTTGGGTGAGGGAGTAGGGGACAGGGGTTATAAATACATGCCTACTGTACATAGCCAGCAACTTGTACAACGTACTTGTTTATCTGTGGTTGTCATGGAGTTCTTCTATGTTCAAACTGTACTTACAGTAAGAGAACCTTGGTTCTGGATTGCAATGTGTGTTCCGCATTGCTTTCAGACTAAACCTGAACAGAGAGGCAGGAAGACAAACTGGTAGACAAGGAGAAGGACAGACAGACAGACAGACAGACAGACAGACAGACAGACAGACAGACAGACAGACAGACAGACAGACAGACAGACAGACAGACAGACAGACAGACAGACAGACAGACAGACAGACAGACAGACAGACAGACAGACAGACAGACAGACAGACAGACAGACAGACAGACAGACAGACAGACAGACAGACAGACAGACAGACAGACAGACAGACAGACAGACAGACAGACAGACAGAACGGGTGAACGACAATGGAGGCATCCAACTTTTAAACAGACAGACCGACGCTTATCTTTATATAGCATCAAACTCACCGTCTACCCGCCTTTCACACTTGCAGCGCAGACTGCATTATGACATGATTGTTAAGCTGCGTTTACAAACCTCTCAGCCACAGACAAAGACGTACCACTTGTGTGTACTTGAAACTTGTGTGTGATTTCGATTTTAAGTCTGTGCTGTTGGCTTTTAATATTTCCAATTCCCTGTATTAGTTAACCCTTGTTTTGGGTTTCTCGACTTTTACTGTCCCTGACTGAGACGGTTAATGGTTTGGTTTCTCCACCAATGTTTAATGCTCTTAAAGCTTAATTATTAATGTAGTTTCCTTCTGTTTATTATGCATAATTGTAAACAGACATGTGGAGTTAACAGTCATTAACTAGCATGTAATGCAGAGATCTACATAGTGGGTACAGCCTTACCTACTTAGGAAAGAGTCGAGGACAAGAAAACAAGAGAAAGATAACGATAAATGCTGGAGGACAGCATCGAGACATGGACAGATAGCAGTCTGAGAGTCTATGAGAGTGTACAGAGCGTGTCGGAGATCCGGTGCAGCGAACTTTCACTCTGGAAACGGCACCTGATTGATTGATGACTGAGTGGGTAAAATTCTGGCCTTGCATTGGCAATGAATGGAATTAAATGCAGGTGATGTTTAGGGCAACTTCCGACTGCCTTCAAGGGGCACATTCGCACATAGATAGGCACATAGGGTAATAATAGTTATAATAATAATAAGCAATATTATCATTAAAGCTGATTGTAAACGAAACGAAAAAAAAGAGAGAGAGAGAGAGAGAGATCACGAACGAACTTTATTTTTAAAGAGTCACAAATCGAGCACGCAGGCCCGTCCTAACATAGGATGGCTCTTTCAAACACCCAAGACAGCTGGAGCCGGTCTTGCAACCACCCATCTTCCACACAGCAGTTGTATTTTATCAATTAATCATGCTTTGTTAGACAGTAATATGCCTAATAGAGAGAGAGAGAGAGAGAGAGAGAGAGAGAGAGAGAGAGAGAGAGAGAGAGAGAGAGAGAGAAAGAGAGAGAGAGAGAGAGAGAGAGAGAGAGAGAGAGAGAGAGAGAGAGAGAGAGAGAGAGAGAGAACATAGGAAAATTACTTACACTCCAAGTATTTCAAAGCCTGTTTAAAACAGTTACTATCATTCTGAGAACACTGATCGGATTGATCAACTTTACATTGGTTTAACAAGAAATATTCCTGGCTCTACTAACCTAGATTTGCCGGCTGAAAATGCACATGACCAAAACCTATGATATTTCACTTCTGGCAACCCTACTACACAAATCCTTAGCAAGTGATTGATCGTTCGATTGATTATCGCTGAAAGAGTGCGTACAGAAAATCACTACTACTTTTCTATTTATACTTTCAGAGCCTACTGGAAATCAGTCAATCAAGGCACATAAATACATACGTACATACTACGTACGTACGTACGTAATATAAATAGAAAAGTAGTAGTGATTTTCTGTACGCACTCTTTCAGCGATAATCAATCGAACGATCAATCACTTGCTTGCACACACACACCCACCCACCCACCCACCCACACACACACCCACACACAAACCCACTCACCCACCCACCCACGCACACACACACACACACAGACAGACAGACAGACAGACAGACAGACAGACAGACAGACAGACAGACAGACAGCCGATTTGGCGGCCATGCGATGGACAGTGTATTGGCATCGGCAGTATAGTAGTGCAACCATTGAACATGATTAAATTCGATTTATCGATTGATTAAATTTACCCGCTGTCGTTTTATTCGTGACACACCTATATCTGGTGTGAATCCAGAGTGTGAATAAGGGTCAAATATTAGCAGCAACCGATAATAAGTTTGGGAAGGTTGGTGGTTGGTATTCAATATATTTCTGATGAGAGAGGATAGGAGATTCTGGAAAAGGTGGGGGGGGGGGGGAGGGGTGGGGAGGTGGTAGCGTGTCGGGTTTGCACAAAAAGGAACAATGCAGAATAGCCAGAATAGCAGAAGCAATATATATAATCTTATTTGCAGCTGAACCAATAGGCCTTTTCCAAAAAAAATTTCTTCTAACCTGATGCTAAAGATGTTTTTGTTTTGTTTTTTGAAATAAACCGTCCACAGCCGAAATAAACAACAGAAGTCCTCTAGAGCAATCTACTCGCAGCTGTATAGTAAATAATGCTCAGTTTACATACAGAACATGCGTCTTCTGCTTTAGCTTTAGCGAAAAAAGCCACTTATAGCAGTTGTTGAATTCATGCCACAAAATTGAGCAAAACAAATATCGAAACAAATTTTCAACGAGCAGCACCGTTTACCAGAATGTAGATAATAAGACGAAGGTGTTAAACCCAAAACGAGGTTCGGCTAAACTGACAACAACGGCGAAGGCACCAAGAGAGAGACGTTTGAACCAGCCAGACTAGAGTTTGACGCCAATAAAAAGCACGTTAATTTGTTTTGAGGTAGAGATTGAAAGCACATTGGTTAAGAAAAGGGATCAGCAATGCTTGATACTTGATAATTTTCTTTTTAGAGAAAGTCCAAACAGTTGAGATTTGTGAACTTTGAAATGTCTGCTAACTAATCACAGTTCGTTGAGTTCGCCACATTTATTATATTTATAGTATAGGCATGTACTGGGTGTTTTTGAACCAGTAATGCCACTGATTGATTATGAATGCGTTTAATCATACGACATACAGACGAGATGTAATTTTGTGATTTTAGAATTCAAGAAAAGTCGCTGAAAAGAATACAAAATCAGACAAAATGATGAATGATAGTATTGATAGTGAATAAAGCCAGTCTTACATACAGGTCATCAACTAACAACATATGAAGTGATTTAACACCTAACAAGAATGCCCTGATACTATCTGCTACAGCGAGCCACACTGAAACATTACAACAGGTATATAGCGAATGGAAGACCTTCAAAATTATGGAGTGATGACATTAAGAACAGCCTTACAGAAATAAACATCAGTCTTACTAGTAATCTTGACAGAGCTCATCAACGAATGTTTCATCTCCCCTGACACTTCAAGAAGGTACAAGGTGGATGAGAAGAAGAAGAGAAATGTAAAGCAGAAGAAATATAAGCAGATTCCTGTCTATATGTCTTATTTAAAGAACAAATGAGGGGTGCAGTAATGGCCCCTCTCCACACTTGGATACATTTGGCGATTTCAGCATATATATATATATATATAATGGCATCCGTCAGTCCCGGGGGACTATGGAGATGTGCCGCTGGCTTTGGGAACAGCATCTGCCGTGACTGTAAAGTCCAATGCTGGAATGGCAGTCTTTGCCACACAGGATACACACAAAAGCAGAGACTCCCTCGTTGTGAGGCAGTTTTACTCTCTGGTGCCTCCTCTCCACAGCTCGTTGTGTTCGGTTTCTTTCAAAATGTGACAGTCCGTCTTTTACTTTCTGTCTCCATAGTAATTGATCTGCAGCTGATTTTTCCCATGTCTCTGTGCCTGTGTTGGTATCTATTAGGTCACGTTTGCATACATCTTTATAGCGCAGCTTTGGCCTTCCTGTAGGTCTATTCCCAGTTACCAATTCACCATATAGGAGATCTTTTGGAATACGACCATCCTACATGCGGGAGACATGTCCCAGCCAGCGCAGACGTCTTTGCTTCATTATACAATACATTGATGGTATTTTTGCTCTTTGTTCTTCAGTTATTATGGTTTATTTATATATATATATAGGACATGATTTATATTATAGACGAACGAGAATGCAGATGTCCTTCGCTTTTATTGCAGCTCTGTAAACAGTGGTATGGGTCTCTTTATAATAACTAATTTTTAACAAGAAGCACACATTGCAAACTTGAGTAAGCATTTCATAAAACTACACTGAAAATAGCATCCAAGTCAAGTGCAATCTTCTCTGAAGGTTGGCTACAGAACGCTTTTTCTCTTGCCCTGATTATAAACTTGCAAACTGCTGTTCATCAGTTATTGATGTTATCCTCCCACTTGTATTTCTCTTTTCCTGCTTTCTTTCTTCTCCTTTTAAAAGGTGTATGAATGAAAGGAGTGAGGGGAGAATAGTAGACATGCCAGTGGTCTTGTGTTGTGTTCTAATAAATTTAAGTCATGAGTGCAGTGACTGGCCAGCTGGTGCTGCAGAATCAGAAGTTCAATAAATGATTGGTGACAATTCCTGCCCAGGTGATGTGATTATCTATACAGAAGGGTCTGTGTTGAGAGGTAGACGAAGTGCATGGGGATTGACAGCAAAAGCGAACAAATAGCTTAGTGCAGATAACTAACCAGTTCTGCACCACTTGGAGGTAAATTGCTATATGACAAGCTAGATGTTGTGAGGACCCTTTGGAAGCGAGTGAACAGTGCAGAGTTACAAATAGATCATTACGGTCTGAGGAGAACGGGGCTGCGAGGAGTTCCAGTAGATCTGGCCGACGCTGAACACTCAAGGGAAAGGTGAGATGGATATACAGATAATTACTTGTGCTATCAGAATTGGAACTCTTCGCTTGCTGCTGAAGATGGGCACAGAGCACTTATGGAAGTGTCCCGAGTGCTGTGTTGATTTTTAGTTCAAAGTTTTTGTTAGATATGCCCAGCTCTTAACCTTTGAAAACAAATTTTGTTTGCTCATTTGTTCAAATTTCAGTTTTTATAAAGCTGGGGAAAAACAGTCTGTCCTTCAAGAATGCATTATTGACACATTTGAGGTCCAAAATGTTTGCCTTAAGTCGGGCCTTATTTCCTAGAATAAAAGGCTAATCACCTCAAAGGTTAGTTGCGTATCCTTTACAGGACATTGAAGAACCAACCCCAGCAGCCTGTGGCTGTTGTGTGGTTTCTCTAGGCAAATTTAGGTCCAGTAGTTTGCCATTTCTTTTTGGACGGTCGGCTCCCTGATACCACTGTCAAAACCAATGCAAGGCGCATAGCCCGCAGCTGGGATTGAACCTGGCACCCCGGCATTACGAAGCGTTCGCATTGACTTAGCCACAGAGCCGACTAATCACCTCAAAATTTCTTTAAAGAAACACACACAAAACACACTGGAACTGTGTACTGCCAAAAAGAAAGCCCTTTCTTCAGTTATGGTTCATGGAGAAAAAAAACTACAGAAATCTAACAATCTTTAGACAAACAGTAAAATGAGAAAGAATGCTAGAGATAGACATGTTTAAATAAAAAAAAGACTTGCTATAAATCTGTTGTGATTTTTTATGTGACTTATGTTTTTCTCTTTCTTTCTTTACTCAGTTTTCCAGCATGCCTGAACAAGATCTAAACCCGGCATCTGCAAAATTTATATCATCCCTTGTGAAATCACTTCAGATTATATGTAATGGCCAAGTGGAGTTCCATGAAAGCATTGAACTCGTCGGCCATATTAATGTTAGAGATTGACAACACACTCAGTCCCAGGGGGTTTAGCGTCAGAGGACCAATAGGTGGTAATACAATTTTGAAATGTCACAAGTGTGCACATTTAAAAAAGAATACTTATTCTCACCGTGTGGTGCCTGTTGTCATAAAAAATAGGACCGCTGCATCCTTTCAGCATGTTGTAAGAGGCGACAAAAAGGAGTTGAACGTGGGGCCAACAACCCCACCTACATCTATGACATCCAGATCTCCATGAGTATTTTTTATATTTTATGTTTCTGTAATGGTTATCTTTTTTTTCACAATGTGGGGTTGTTGGCCCCACGTTCAACCCCACACTGTGAAAAAAAAGATAACCATTACAGAAACATAAATATAAAAAATACTCATGGAGATCCGGATGTCATAGATGTAGGTGACAGGATAACTGTCAATGATGAAGGACCGGGCGAAAAGCCTGCAGGGAAACCCAGCCTCGACGACCTGCCTCTTGGCACTCAGGAACATGATTCAGCTTGCCTGCTGGAATGTCAGAACCATTTATGAAGCAGGCAGATCTGCAGAAATTGTCAATTAAATGGCAAACAATATGGTAGACATTTTGGGAATTAGCAAAAGCAGGTGGACTGGTCAAGGAAGACTGACACATAATATTGGGAAGACCATACTCTACTCTGGAAGAAATTATGGTAAACATACACATGGAGTAGCATTAATGCTAACTAAAGAAGTAATCAAATCTTTGAATGGATGTATGGTGATAAATGAAAGGCTAATAACTGCATGCTATAAGTCCAGATTTACAAAATTTTTGAATTGGAGCACTGTATAACCAGAAATAATGCAAATACATCAGTACAAAAACAAAATTCTGATAAATGAAAAGGTCTCAAGAAGTGTGTGATTGGCTCTACCTTATTAATCTGAGTCATCACATAGTGAGGTTGCTAACATTTGTTTATGTTGGCAGAGCATACTGAAACAAATTTCAGTGCAGGAAGGTAATTCTGATTATGGTAGTGATGAGGAGTGCTAATGACATTGACATTTCACAAATATAATATATGAAAATAGATTATATGACTACAGCTGCTGTGCAGTATTCACAAATTAACCCTTTGATCTGTCGGCTAAACAGCAAAATAGCTAAAAAAGACTGCTTTTTGCATTTCTTGCACATGTGAGATGTTTAGTGGTGGCTTTCATGAAAGTTTGCTGTGTGCTGTAATTTTACATCAGGTTTTTTTTTTCGATGTTACCCAACAATGATGAAAAATACTGTTACATCATAGCAACCAAAAAATAGCAGGAAAAGGAGTAGAACCATGTGTCAGATGTGTCTGTAGGACCTGCATGGGCCTTGCTTTTTGAAACACAAGTTTATTCACGCTCAGTTCATCAGAAAATGTAGCCAAATTGTTTAGTTTAGTCTTATTTGTCCTAAGAATGCATGCATAAATATACAAATTCAATTGATAATTTGAATGAATGTTGACATGTTATTGTGATTCATAAAGACTATGTTAGTTTGTTCAATTTCCTACAAGAATATATTGTTAATTGTAATTTTGTATTGTTAAATTAAACTCTTCATTTTTATTTTTTTTATTTTGTGTATGAAAATTAAGAGAATCTCCTCCTGAAGGCTCCGTCTTCTTGGCACTGAATAAGGCTACATCACCAAAGGGTTCAACATCAATGGGAGGTGGAAGTGTTTTAAAATACTGCTGCAACAGAAAATAAATAAATGAACAAATAATAAAAATATACATGCAACATGCTTAGAGAAATCAGTTGCCCAGCTCGCTAGCATAGTTGGTTAAACCTGACTTTGCGGCGACCGGGTGACAAACTCCTTGTGGTCTGAGAAGCCATATTTCTCCCAGATTTACGGTATCTATCATAGAATCAAGGCCGAAGGGTTGCGATATCCATAGAACTGAGCCAAAGATTTCATTCATGGTTTCTAGATTCTTTAAATTAAAAAAAATTCAAACAAACCGGAGAAATCAGTTAAGTGAATTAATGTTTCCCCTCTCCCCCACTTACCTTCCCAGTTTCTGTCTTTTCTGCCTGTTCAGTAAGTAAGAAAAGTTGCTCTGCTGGCTTGTATGAATGAATGAATCATTTAAAACAAAATTGACATTACTACACTCAGAACATACCCACACGTGCTCCGTCTCCTTCTTCGGTAGACAGCGAAGAGTCAACATGCTAATAGTACCAGCTGCAACCTGATGAAAAGTGTGCCTTTGTTTCCGTCACAGTGATGAATATCTTCCAGAACTTTTACTCAAAATTGTCTGTTCAGAATTCCTCAAGAAAGCGGTTATTTAAATTATAATTTTTTTTCTTTTTTTCTTTCATCTAACCTTTCGCTGTGTGTCTGTTTACATGTTTATTTGCTAAAAGAAAAAAATCTGGTTAACATTATTCTGACTTCAGGATGCAAAGAAATGATTGTGTAAATAGTTGTTTAAATAAAATCTAGATAGTACATAAGAAACTTTTACATACCCCTTTGTACCCATTATTTGTATCTGTATTGTTTCAGGGGATTATGACCCTGTGGATGAAGTGAGTGCAGAAGGATTCCAGGCTGTAGATACCAGTGTTTCTTTTGAAGGTTCCATTTTTACCTTAATTTTAATTTTTTTAACAGAGAAATTAGTGACTTGACTCTAATGATAGGCTTATTTCTATGTCATCAACTTAGATTTTACACTTTTCACCGTGACCACGAAAAAAAAAAAATTACCCTTTTTTAAGGATGGAAATCCTTTAAAAAAAACATATTTTACACAGGTCACCCAAAAAATACTGTCAATTCTATTTATGGACCAAAACAATGTTAATATCTATACAGAATAAGAACAAAAATCTGCTTCGATGCGGATTTGAACCCAAACCTTCTGGCCTGCTAGCGAGCATCTAGTCGCTACCATGGTTTAATTAGTAAACATTAATGCAGCACACACAAAAATTGACTTATCTCTCTATGATCATTAAAACCATTAATACTGTGACTCTTACCAGACACTGGCAATCTGTTGCAAGCAGTGGGGAATTATGTCAGATTTCTAGCTAGCTTCATCATTAGCTTCGACCACTGTCATTGTGAATTTGGAAAGCCTTTCCTGTTTGTCTGTTTAGTCTGCATCTTCGAAAAGATCATTTGTTGTAATTTGTGAGCCTCTGTACTGAAACTCATGTAAAACCAGCAGCTCATGATTAATAAGCTAATGATTGATGGATTCACCACACTCATCCCAAATTCGCATGCATTGTAGAGTGATTCCTGAGAATCTGCAGATCATTCCTTTATGTGCAGTAATGGATGCATCATCTACAGATATAAAGTCCCTGAGACATTTCTGCAGCTTAGTCCTTGCACACAGCCTGTATAGAATGAAAAGACTCCGTTATGAATCTGGAAGGGTGAGGTAGACAAATCTTTCCATATGATGGGTTTTTTTTTTTTTTCATATTCTCATGGAAGGATGTTTCTTCTTCTTGTTCTTCATCATTCGTCTGAGTGACAAAATTTGAGTTATGCTTGTTTACAACATAGTTGCCATACTCGTGCCAACACATCTGACTTTATCTGGTATTTGTTCACCGAATTAGCCTTCCCACTTGATTTTGTCGGACTTGACATAGCCTTGTTTGTGTGGTTTCCTATTTATATAACTTTGTCTACTATAGATGTTGCCCCTAGAAAACCTGTTCAGGGCAGCCCTCAAGGGAAGGCAGGAGCAAAACATGGGCAGTCTCTCTAATTGATGGAGGCTTCCATTAATGCAGAGCTGATAGGTGATGCTCTAGTCCAGGGCTCACACAAATAATCATCACTTCCTGCACATGACTGCTTAATTTCACAACAATTTTGTGTGTCCCACACATCACTGCCTGCACCCTTTAGAGATCAACAGGAAACAGCCTGCAAATCCAAGACTTTATTGACCACGCTGATGGGCCAAATTTCCTTAGCAGTTTTGATCCATTTAACATAGTTGCATCAGAACACATAGCACAATGGTATAGGAAAAGCATGCACCAGGCCTGGCTTGCCCTTATGCTCCTAACACTGACGGGTAGTGTTAGTGGACGTTTGAACCTCTCCATCACAAATTAGGACATTTGACGGTCAGTCATCTGAACCTTGTCTGTCACACAGTGGGACATTAAATAGTTGGACTTATTAACCTGGTCTGTAACACAGTAAGGTACGAAGGTCAGAGGTGTGAAAATTGTTTGTTATGTTGTCGGACACTTGCCTGTTAGACAAATTAGTCCAAAGAGTATTTCAGTAGGACTTTTGGTTGACAGGTGGTTTAACCAGAATTTGTCATATAGTAGAATATTTGGCCAGTAGGCTTCACTTATATTCCAAATAAGTTTCTGATGGACTTAATCAACCAAATCTCTCATGCATTGAGGGTGGGCCAGTGAGAGCTGCTGCATCTCTGTGGGCCACCAACTCACAGATCCCCTTCTAGATCAGTTCAGGCCATAGCGGCCTTTATCCAAGGGGTACGACAAGGATGTGTAGCAGGAGTCTTGTCTAAGGATCCGTAAAGCCAGCAAAGGGTCTGCTGGCACCCAAGGTGGAGTACAGATTGTTTTCTTGTACACATCACTACAGCCTTATCTTTCCCTCATTTGTGTGACAGAAATCACCATGCTTCAGAAGGATTTAGTCAGGTTCAGTAGTATGGGTGGGCATCCATATTTAACAAGAATCTTGGTCAGCACATCTTTGCTAATATAATTGAAAACCTTAGTGAAATCTGTGAAGGCAATAAACAGTGACTACTGTTGCTCCCTGCACTTTTCTTACAGCTGCTTGCTTGATGGAATTAACCTGTGCTGTGATTCCGCTCAAACATTGTCTGCTGGAATCAGCAGCCTCTTCAGAATCACCTGAGCTAAGACTTTGTAACTGTACAGTACTCTATGATACTTTTGTTCCCTTTTATTAACTCTCTCACTCCCAGCCAGTAATTACTTTAACTGTTTCTGTAGCATAGTGTTCTACTTTAGAGCTGTCTGTGTTTGGGTATGAAGTTCAAATAAAATGACAAAGGGAACTAAATGTAGAGTTTGGGTATAATGAGTTAACATAACAGTTGTCAGAGACAGAATATGATTTTTAAAAAAGAGAGAGAGAGAGAGAAAGAATACTGTTTCTTGACTTATTAAAGATATGAGCATGTGTTGAGTTGTTTGGTATACATAATATTGCAACTGACAATGAGAAATTACATTTTTTGTTTATAAATTATTCCTCCATTTTGCATTGATTAGTTCCTTTTGAAATTTATCTTTCACCAGTTTATTTCTTTTTCCATTTGCTGAGGCTTACATTTATATAATGTAGATAAATTATATCCACTTTATTTTTAAATAGAGTCTGATGGCAATCAAGTCAGCTGTTTAAGGAAGCGACGACAGCCTATGGAGCATGGTGAGTTTAAAATGTTTCTGTTTATGGTGTGGATGTCAGTTTGTTCCAGTCCTGCTGATATATGTGATGACATGCAGAGAAAAACAGATGATGTAGCAAATATGGAATCAAGGGTAGGATAACAAGTGAGTGATTAAAAAAAGAAATGTACTGAAAATGTAGATCACAGATCAAGTAGACAAAACAATTAAAGTAACTGATCAGTTTACAAATTTATTTAGCAGCTTTGTTACCAATGAAACAAAGAAAGAAAGTATAGCGTGTATTGGCAAGACAACCTAAGCTTTTAAAAGCCTCAACAATATATAGTAAAGTAAATGTTCCTTTTCCACGCCTTTAGGCGTATAGAGCACTTAGGGCTAGATCTATATATTTTTATGGACCAATCGGCATAAGATGGGTGATGTGGTCAGCATCATGTCGGTCGCCTTTACTTCCCAGGACTGCACCCGGTACCCACTCAAGGCTGGGGGTCAAGGTCATTTTTGAAAAAAAAAGTCTAGCTCTGCCAGGGAGCAAACCCACGACCTTTCGGTCTTCACGCGAGTGTCTAGCCTCTACGCCGCGGGGACTCTCCTCAACAAAATATGGAACTCTTAATTAAATAGATTTAAAACCAACTTACAGATTTGTAATACTATTGTTATTTCACTTGTAACATATGCCATTGGAAACTGGAGAACTGCTAATGGCATGGAATGAAACTTAAATGTATTCAAAAAAGAAATGCCTAAGGAAATTGATGAACATTTAATGCAGATGGATTTAAATTAGGTTAAGAAAAAAGAGAAATGTTAGGAAAAACTGCTTGTATCAACAGTTATAAGACAAATAAGATGACAGTATATTTAGCACAATAATGAGGAGGAGCAGGCAAAGAATCACTAAACAGCCACTAAATTGAGAAGCAGATAGATTGAGGAAATTAGGTCTGCCAAGAGAAATTCCAAGACAGACATTGTTGAGAGGGAACAAAGGGGCTTCACTGAATTTCATCCATGATGTTTTTAAAGGATTGCCAGTGGGTCTATTCTTGTTTTCCCAACAATTGGGCTCTGGAACCCACACTAGAACTGTGGGACATATAATTGTACAGCAGGATGATGATATGTTATATACATAAATAATTTATTCTTGTGGACAATTTTATACACACACACACACACACACACACACACACACACATATATATGTATATAAATTTTCTGGTGAGCCACCATGGTGTAGTGGCTAGAGGCTCACCTGCAGATCAGAGAGTTGTGGATTTGGGTCCTAATGGAGCCGTACTTTAAAAAAAATGACATTGGCTTCTAAGGCCGACCAAGCCTTGAGTGAGTATGAGGTATAGTATTGGAAAGTAAAGGTGACCGGCATATTCCATATCACCAACAGAGTGCCGACTGGTCAATAAAATATAGATCTGGCCCTATGTGCCCATTGTGCCTGAAGGCGTGGGGAAAGAGCTCTTTACTTAATCTTCTTGTCAACAAAAATAAGCTTGAGTCTGTCAGGGGACTGGAATAAGGCTGCATATGAGACTTTTTACAGTAGAGCATCTAGGAGGAAGGCAAGAGGAAGACCAAAATAGATATGGGTAATTGGTGTTTCTGAATCATGCAAAAAGATGAATTAATCTATTATTCAAGCCACCCGAGAAGTGCAAGACAGATACAGAAAACCATGACACTGGGCTACAACCTGGTATCAGTGAGATGACAAAAGAAGAGGACACGAATATTTTTTATTATTGAACCAGTCTTGACCACTTACCTTTTTGGTGATTGTAGTTTGTGTACATTAGCCATTACCATCAAAATAGTCATTAATTGCATCTTGTAAGTGCTGTTGATGCTGAAGCATGTGCCTTTGTTTCATAATTTACTATATAAATATGCTAACTGTTACAATCAAAACACTTGCATGCTGACATACTAACAAAAACTCTTGCATGCCCACATACTGACAACACCCTTGCATGCTTATATGGTTATTGGCAGTTCACAGATGTCTGAGAATTGGACAGAGCATGAAAGTAATTTTGTTACTTTTAGACAAATGAATTATTGTTTACCTAATTATGTTCCCTTTTGTCAGAGCTTAATTTTAAAATACTTTAGTGTGTGCAACAGCTAGGAACTGAATTTAGTCTCTTGTTAGCATTTGATTTGCCAGTCTGAGGTGTCCCAAGGATTTCTTTAGTGATTTAATTGCTTACTGCATGCTTTTCGTATTAAGCTGTGGCTTGTAGTCTTCTGTGTTACATTATGTTTGTGAGATCTTAAATTTATCTCTAGACTTGTGTTTTTTTTTTTCCTTTGTTGGGACTCTAGTATTATGTTGTTCTTATTGCTTTTTCAACATTTTTGCTGTCCACATGCTGGATTGAGAGATGTAATCCTTTCGCCCCGAGAAGCCTAAGTCTACTCACTTCTGGTTGTGCTGCATCCCTGTAAATGCTAATATGTGGCCATGTCTGAATGCCCTGTTGTTGGAAAGTATTGTTAAAATCCATTGGTTATGATGTGTGCCTGTGCATGTTTAATAGGTCAGGATATTAATATAGAATCTAAAAATAGCATTTAAGGGTGTTTTTTATGACAGATAGCTGGGTTTTTTTTAAAGCCATATTGTCAAATTTTCTCTTATCCTCAGTGATTGAGGTTCACAACATAAGTCACCTTATACATTTTTTGTTTAGCCCTGCGGAATGTATTCCTTTAATGCTCCAGTTTAGGTTTTTTAATTACAGCTTTATATTTTTAGTGCTGTTTACAACACATAACCACCGCAGGCACCATAGAACAAAATATTCCACGTGAAATCTACAGTTCACAGCAGTGTCGCATGAAGCACTCATCTCAGTAGCCAGGTGATGGAACCTTTGGATTCCCAGTCCAAAAGTGGAGAAATTGCATTCTCAAACCTCAACAAATAACTTTTCAGAGTGTTAGGGCCAGCAACTGTTCACCATATTGGACTGAAATTCTATTAGAATAAAATCCCAGAAACAGTGTCAAGGGTTTATCATTTATAGGACAGAGAGCTTAGCCATTTTTTATTGTGAGGAATTCTTATAATAATTAACTTATGATCTAGTGGGTTCTGGTCACTTCATTTCCTATGTGGCTTTACTTTCTTTGAGATCATTTGCCATTTTGGTTTAGACTCCAAATGTTTTTCTGTTGTATACAAAAGTAACATTTGAGGTCCATTATGAGGATGGACACAACAGTTTCATGTTTTCTATAGTGGGAGAGTCCAAGGCAACTTCTGTATTCATTTGTAAACTCAGTTTTCTTCATACCTTCATATTGAAAGAAAGCACACGATCTATTATATTTATAGTGTGTAGCTGAATGGTCACTAAATGTGTATTAAGTAAACACAGACAATATGCTATGTCATTTAATTTCTCAATAATTTTTGTAAAGATTCTTTCCATCCAGAATATTATTGTAGATAAAGCTGATACATGGGTGCCGCTATGGCATAGCTGTGAGATCGAGGGTTCAAATCTGCATTGAGTTAGATTTTTGGGAGATGAACATGTGTACCAGGTCAAGTTCTAAGAAGTGAAGCTCATCCACTGAGTGCTGATTGCTCTGTAAAATTATGGTCCAGTACTATGTACCAAATGTGCGTAAGGTGGGGGGAAAGGGTCCTTTATTTGCCGATGCATGTTGTCTGGTAATACTTTTTTTTTTCTTATAGCAGCTGTTTAATGTTTTGAAATATATAAAGGAAGATAAAGAAAGTTCATCAAATGTTTGAGAAAGCTTACATGAATTAAGCAGTAGTTATATCTGCAGGTACACTAGTTGAAGATGCCAACAGTGTGCAGTCTCTGGAGAAGGAAATGCAGGTTCATTTGTCTGTAGAAGAACCAAAGCTAGTTTCCACAGTTGAAGATGCTCTCAGCAGTTCCCATCAAGTGATGACAGAATCCACAGAGCCAGCCAATCCTGTTAATGATATGAAACATTTGATATGTAGACTAGCTGCTCTCTGTGACATGACTGTTGTTCAGGATGAGCTCTTAACAGTTGCTTCTAAGAATATTTTTGTCCCCTCAGATAAAGATATAAAATCTATCAAAAAGAAATTTCTTGAGAACTTTGACAACGACAAGCTTAAGAAAATGAAAGAAGTTCTGAAACTGAAAAAAGGCAGGCAGAAAAAACAGCAGCTAAGAGCTCTTATTGCAGACTCTGGCCTTTCAAAGGAACAGTTGCTACTCTTAGCTCAGGATACAAATTCTCGGATTAAAAAATTAATGAGCTTGAGAAGTATTCCTGAAGGCTTCAGGAAAGAGGTTGTTTTGAAAGACCACAGAAAAGCCCTAAAGATGAAAACGCAAGAGCGTCAGCAAAAACTTCTTGAGATGGCTGAAATGCTGAAAAGAAATCAGATAAGTGACCCAGGTGTGACAATTATGTCCAAGTCCGGGGGTAAAAAGTGTGTTCTCCACAAGTCCTCTATATCTGTGGTGTCACACAGCACCCAGCAGTTGTCATTAGAAAATATTACTGAAGTGGCTGAGACTCTGTCTGGAAAGAGCAAGAAAATTATTATGCAACCAGGTTGCCAAGATAAGACTAAAGATATAATGAAACTGGAGTATGGTAGACGGACCTGTGTAAAGAAGAAGATGAAACAGATTATAGCCAAAATTTTAGATGAAGTTAGTGATGCCGGATACCGTGTAATAGTAACAACAACTGTTGGTTCAGAAGCAGGCTCCCACAGTGCAGAACTGTCAATCATACCAATCAAAGTAGATGACTTTCTACCAGAGACTAAGGAAAGTGATGTGAAGCCTGAACTTTCTGAGGAAGATTATGCTAAACAGTTGGAAAGAGAGCAAATTTTAGAAAAACAACAGGCTAATGAAGAAAAAATGAAGGAACTTGAAATCAAATTACTGAGGATTTTAACCGGTACAGAAGAGATGTTTATTCCCACCAGGAAACGCTACAGTAAAGGAGAACCTCATATGTCAGATGCTGAGAGAATGAAGGAATACAGAAAGAAGTTAAAACAAGATCCAGACAAATACCAGATGTGCAAACAGAAACGTGCAATGAACAGAAAGAGGCATAGACTCAGTGAGCTGGTGGCCAAGGTGAAAGTAAATACAGCAGGTTCTTCTGTGACTGTAATACCAGCAGCTCCTGTCAATGAAGAATCTCATGGATCACAGACAATGGGCACTCTGGTTAGCATGACACAGCCAGTAGGTGGGGTGACCATGCACTGCCCTCAGGTATACGAGCACCCCGGTAGTCACCAGGCGACAGCATCGGTTGTCAATGTCCATCACACAACACAGTATGTTGGACAGGTGTCAGGGATACATGGCAGCCATCAGCACCAGCAGCCCATTGCTTATGGAAGTGACATGGATATTGTGGAACTTATTGCTGCCACTCACAGTGTTCAGAATCAGCATTATGGTTAACGGACAGGGATACATTGTTAATAGAGAGGACCTTATGGGTAATAGATAGGGACGTATGGTTAACAGAAAGAGAGACAAGGTTAACAGATAGGGATGTAGGATGAACAGATAAGGATCTCTGCATAACAGTTTAGGATGTATGATTAACAGACAGGGACATTTGGTTAACAGACAGTTTATGAATTGAAAAAACATGAGAGCTTTGCTGTTGGTATTTCTAACGCAGCTGGAGTTTTGTTTTTAATGACAGACAGAGGCGTATGGTTTTCGGAGATGCGAGGTTAACAAATAGGGATGTATGGTAAACAGATAAGGATATGTGCTTAACTTTTAAGGAAGTGTGATTAACATATAAAGATATGTGATTAGCAGACAGACATTTCGTTAACAGATATTTCTTGAACTGAAACAACATAGAGTCTTTGCTTATGTTTGTATTTCTAATGCAGCTGGAGTTTTTATTAATGTTATGGTGCATGCAGTTTGTATTGTTATATATTTCAAGAACTGTTTCAAAGAATTACAGATTTATCAGTTTGTTTTGGGTTCATATTTTTTTAATTTCTATTTTGTTATATCTAAAAGTTTTGAGTTCACTATTGCTTCAGTTTATATTTTGTTGTAACCACTACAAGTTTTGAGTTCATTATTTCATTACAAGTTCACAATGTTGTCAAAAGATCCTTGTATAGATTTGTTCCATATTTTTTATTTTTCCATAAAATAAATAAAGTTTACTACTATATTTGTGAATAAACTCACATAATGACATTGATGTAGGTTTAAACTTTATTATTAGTTGAGCATTGTGTTTGATCAAATAAACTTTCTACAATAAATGTTCAGAGTCTTGTCCTGTCTTAATGTTTTAATTTTGTGATTACGTCTACGAGCATTAGCATTTATAAGACTGTGAGGTTAGAAGAGCTTAGAATTGTTGGGATAGAGTTTGTGACTGTTGAATATTGTTTGCATGCTGTGGTAGTTCTTTCAAGTACTATCAGATACTACAGTTTTGAAAGCTTTGCCATGTGCAAATTTAAGAACTTAATGCACAAAATATGCACAGACTTTCCTTTTATGTAACCACAGTGCATTAACATTACAAGATTATGACCTAGGCTTTTTAGGCTGCTAGTGAATTTTAACATTTCAGAATAACCACTATTGCATGTTATTATGACAGCTACCGGTAGTGTTGTGATTTTGCAGTTGCAGAGACTTGCCATCACTTGTCCTGTTCACCTTAAAACAGTGCTTACAATATTCATCTATTTTAGCAGATTGTCATTCCTGGTGTCCTGTATCAGGCTGTTAACAAATAAATGAACATTTATTATAACTCATCCACTTCCATTTTTAAAATGCATGGGGAAGTACTGTACCTATTGTTGTTTTATGCTTGCATTTTCATTTTTAAATTGGTATCAGGTTGAAAGCTTTACAGTATTAACCAGAATTCACATAACAGAATGCTTCAGTGTCTTACCTAGCTGTTGTAAAATCTAGGTAACTATTCCAGAAGGTGTTTAAATAAATCTGGAGTTGCTAAAGACAGTAAATGTGGTTTAAATAATAGAAATGACAGCAGTAGGAGTGATAATAAAAGCTGCTATAATAGTGAACTTAACAGTGTGTCAGGATTACAGGTGTGGCATTATAAAATGTATCTCAGTGTTTCAACTCATAATTGGATGAAAAATCAAGCTATCTCACTAAAGATATTGTGATGGTCATTATGTCTGTCTCCATCATCTTGTATGCTGTCAGTCGTTGCTGACATGGATGTTCCTCAGTGCTATTCTAACATTCTCTATCCTGGTTTCCGCTTGCCTCTGTTCTCCTTCAGCTTTCTTGTTGTCACAGTGTACTCCAGTTTTCCATTCTTAAAATGTTCTCAAGGAATGTAAATTGCCATCTTCTCTAGTAGCTGGTTCTCTTTGTGAGTTAATTTCTTTCATGACATCCTTGTCACACTTGCTATATATCCCTTGTGTTTTCAACATTCTTTTGTAAAACCATATCTCTGCAACTTCACATAACTTCCGACTAATTTGCTTTCCATGATTAACATCAAGTTTAATTCTATATAACTCTTTAAGAACATTTTGTGAACCTTAAGAAAAATATATACAGCATAATACAAAGGAGAGTAGCCAGAGAATCTGACAGTGACTCAACATTTAGAGGAGACAAGATGGAGAAGTAGAAGGCATCACGATACGGATTTTTTTAAAATTTGAAATGTAAAACTGTATAAATACATATCACTGAAAATTACCATTTTAAAATAATTGGTCTAACATTAGAAAAAAAAATTGTATCCTGGCCCCTTGACTATGCCGTTTTTGAGAACTGACCACTGCAGAATTGCCGATACATTGACCTGTACAGGTTTGTTAGTAAAGGGAGTTACTAGATTTAGGCTTCTCAGGGCAAAAGGTTTAGTATGCAACATAATACTATACAAAGGGAGGAACCAGAGAATCTGACAGCATTTCAACACTTGGAGGAGAGACAAGACGTAGGTATGATCAGATTGCATCTGAAACCATTAGTGTCTGTGCTGACAGCTGAAGATTAGTAATACATCAAATCTAACCTGATAGATATGGTTAGTAGCTGATAACACATCATGAGTAGCTTCATAGACATAGTCATCTTCTTCCTTTGCATTTGCCTTTGAGGGATATTTGGTGAATTGTGTTAATTGCAAAAGAGGCAAAGGAAAACAAGGAGGCATCGTGCTAAGTGGTCTTAGATGGTTGCCTGGAGTCAACGGTGAAAGTGATCCAAAACACACAAATGTCTAAACTGTCTGGCAAGGCACGTGATCATGATTATTGTTGCAATTTTTTCGCATATTGTTTGTTGCAGTTTATTTTTGTTATTTCTATTTATTTCCAGTTTTTGCATGTTTAAAAGCAGTTTTTCTGTTTAGTTCTTTTTATTTAATAATGGTTTTTAATCTGTTACCTTGTTGAGGTTACCTGACATATGCTGTTAACTGTTCATTGTTATTATTTTTTTGATTGTTTTGTTCTGTGGTATTCAGCACTTTGACAAAAACACAAAATTGAATCAGTTGGGAGAAAGGCAGCACAATGGTTTTGAAGATACACTTTATGCACGAAAACACATTACAGATTTGTCTGGATTAGAAACAATACAGGAGATAAAAGGATTGAGGAGACCCAAATTGACATAACTTTAAGAAAGGAGTGGCGTGTACTGCTTAAAACTCTCAAAATATGTATTCGAGAAGAATTATTATGGTAACTTAATTTTCAAATAGGAGATTTACAGTTTAGTCAGATACATTGCCTAGGCAATTAAACAGTTAGTTAATTTCCAGTTTTTTCTCTTTGCATTTTGTATTCTTTGTTTTACTTAGACACTGGTCTATTTTCTTGTTGTTTTATCATTGCACATGTGTTAACTTGATGTTTATTTTTTTATAGCTATCCAATATAGCGTTAAAAAACTGTTTGCTAAATGCATATATTTGTTTTCCTTAGAATGTGTTCATCGTAGGTAATTTGATTATAGGAAGAGGGGATTTTTCTGTACACAGTATATTCAGGTTTCATGTGTAACAGTTTTGTGTTTAAAGATTCTTGGGCCTTGTGGGCACTCCTTTTCATATCTTTTGCCTATTGATTTTTGGTCTGTTACATTAGGTCTTCTTTTCATTTTTGTAATTTCTTCACAAAAACATTATTCTATACCATTTTCATATGTCTTGAAGACTCAGACTATGCTTTTATTCCTCAAATTTTCTGCAGTGGCTAAATCATTTGTTTTTCAGCTTTGGAAGATAAGTAGATAATTTTTTCAAAAGATGTTTATTGATTAGTGCAGTGGTCTTCAACATTTTTTTCAGGCTGCACCACTTTTGAGAATGTGACAAGACCCTCAAACTCTCTCCCCCCCCCCCCTCCCTTCTTTGAGTATATATCAAGACATCATTGCCCATCCCCCCTTCTATTGCAGCCTTTCCCCAACATAACAGAATGTGATTAAAAATGGGGGGGGGGGCAGTAAATTCTGCAACAGGTGAAACAGAAAGTATGAAGATACATTTTAGTCAGAATGTATTGAACGAGTTATCATAATTATATTTTTACCGGTAAATGTACAGACTGCTCATAAAAACAGAAATGTCCTTGTCATTTTGTTTCATAAATAGTTTTTTTTTAATATTTATAATTAAACTACAACAAAATGTAAGTAGTATAAAAGGATCAGTTAAGTACAAATGCACTCACTTTCAAAATTGCTTGACTTCCCTCTTGAAAACTCCTTGCACCCCAGGTTGGAGACCACTGGATGAGTCTATTATGTATGCATTTAGTATTTCAAAGACTCTGAGATGCCAGCATTTCATGTTCTTGTGAGTTCTTCTACACTGATTTCATTAATTTCTCTGAGAAAGGTGAAATAAACTGCCTCATATTTCTCATATTATGGTTTAAAGTTTTAAAATAATGAATGTGAGGGTTATTATAATTGATAACATTCCTCAGAGTTTGTCATTTGTCCATAAATTGTTTCCTTCCTTAAGTTATGCTCTTATAATTTTTTCAATAAATTTTATTTAAAATATTTATAATCATAAATCAGTCATTTCCCTTTCTTTTTTCCTCTGTCACCCCTTTTTTCTCTCCCTCCTTTCTCTATCTCCTTTATTTCCCCCCCCCCCCCCCACTCTATGTCTCCTTCTTTCCCTTCGTCTTTAGCTTCCAAATTTCATTTTTAACTTTATATGACATGGTGCTAACATGAATTGTACGTTTATTTCTTAAACATTAGTTTAAATAACCTTAACATAGGAAATAGACAAGCAATAATAAGGGTAAAAGTTGTTAAGTCATTCAGTCATACGGTCAAGATTCCTGAGTGGGTTCCCAGGTCTCATTACTGGGGAAACAAGAATAGACCCATTACGCCCTAACAAGCATGTTGTAAAAGTAAAAAAATCAGGTTTATTTCCTTTTAAG